ATAACAAGACATCCCTCTAAATAACAAGACATCCCTCTAAATAACAAGACATCCCTCTAAATAAAAAGACATCCCTCTAAATAACAAGACATCCTTCCAAATAACAAAACATCCCTCTAAATAACAAGACATCTCTCTAAATAACAAGACATCCTTCCAAATAACAAGACATTTCTCCAAATAACAAGACATCCCTCTTAATAATAATTGAGGGTTAAATTCAATATTACATTGTAAACTATATGTCTTTTGATTTTATGAGATTTTGGTTTCAAATAATGCTATCAGAAAATAAAAATGTATAGGAAAACCAGGAAAGTTACAACAAAAACTAAGTTTTATTTAATGTTTAATACAAATACCGGGATTTATCTTTCTTATATATTTTCTTATTGTGTTTTTATTCAAAATTAGTCTAATTAATAAATTAGTGACAACGTGACAGTTAAAATTCAACAACAGGTAATCGAATTAAAAGGCAGACAAAAAGTCTTACAAAATATGAATTATTGGCCTAGCACTGAAAGGGTTAAGAAAACGACTTGTAACTGCTATCAGAAAAAGTCCAACTAAGGAGATGGACCAAGCAACTTTGTACAGTGAGGTTCTTCGTTCAAGCCCATACAAAACCACGAGCACTACTGTTTCGACACTTACTACCACGGCTCAATTTATAATCCCTGTTACAACTAAACAAGTGAAAACTCCTTTGACCGATCCACGAGTTAGCCGGATTTTCGATTTAAATAGAGACGACTTGGTTAGTGAAATGAAAAAGTACGGACTGAGAATTTTTACAGAAATGGGAGTCATACCATTTTGTTCAGAATTTATAGGTCTACATGATTCTAAATTGTTATCCGAATCGTTTGGTGCATTTAGGAGAAAATTTAGATATTTCGTTATTTTATTGAAATTTTTATGTTAAAATAACATAATTTACAATAACTTTTGAACCAGAATTTTCACAGGGATGGAAGTCATACCATTTTGTTCAGAATTTAAAGGACTACATGATTCTAAATGTTTATCCGAATCGTTTGGTGCATTTAGGAGAAAATTTAGTATTTTCGTTATTTTATGGAGATTTTTACTTTTGAACCAGAATTTTCACAGATATGGAAGTCATACCATTTTGTTTAGAATTTAAAGGGCTTCATCATTCTAAATTTTAATCAGAATTGTTTGTTGAATTTAGGAGAAAATCCTATTTCTAATTATTTTATGTAGGTTTTTATGGGAAAATAACATAATTTACAATAACTTTTGAATCAGAATTTTTACAAAAATGGGAGTCATACCATTTTGTTAAGAATTTAAAGGGCTACATCATTCTAAATTTCTTTCAGAATCGTTTGGTGCATTTAGGAGAAATTTAGATTTTTCGTTATTTTATGGAGATTTTTACTTGTTTAGTTGTAACAGGGGTTATAAATTGAGCCGTGGTAGTAAGAGTCGAAACAGTAGTGCTCGTTGTTTTGTATGGGCTTGAACGAAGAACCTCACTGTACAAAGTTGCTTGGTCCATCTCCTTAGTTGGACTTTTTCTGATAGCAGTTACAAGTCGTTTTCTTAACCCTTTCAGTGCTAGGCCAATAATTCATATTTTGTAAGACTTTTTTGTCTGCCTTTTAATTCCATTACCTGTTGTTGAATTTTAACTGTCATGTTGTCACTAATCTATTAATTAGGCTTATTTTGAATAATAACACAATAAGAAAATATATAAGAAAGATAATCCCGGTATTTGTATTAAACATTAAATAAAACTTAGTTTTTGTTGTAACTTTCCTGGTTTTCCTATAAATTTTTATGTTCTGATAGCATTATTTGAAACCGAAATCTCATAAAATCAAAAGACATATAGTTTACAATGTAATATTGAATTTAACCCTCAATTATTGTTAAGAGGGTTGTCTTGTTATTTGGGGAGATGTCTTGTTATTTGGAGGGATGTCTTGTTATTTAGAGAGATGTCTTGTTATTTAGAGGGATGTTTTGTTATGTGGAAGGATGTCTTGTTATTAAGAGGGATGTCTTGTTATTTAGAGGGATGTCTTGTTATTTAGAGGGATGTCTTGTTATTTAGAGGGATGTCTTAATATTTAGAGGGATGTCTTGTTATTTGGAGGGATGTCTTAATATTTAGAGGGATGTCTTGTTATTTAGAGGGGTGTCTTGTTATTTTGAGGGATGTCTTGTTATTTTGAGGGACGTCTTGTTATTTAGAGGGATGTCTTGTTATTTCGAGGGATGTCTTTTTATTTGGAGGGATTTCCTAATATTTAGAGGGATGTCTTGTTATTTAGAGGGGTGACTTGTTATTTAGAGGGATGTCTTGTTATTTAGGTGGGATGTCTTGTTATTTAGAGTGATGTCTTGTTGTTTAGAGGGATGTCTTGTTATTTAGAGGGATGTCTTGTTATTTGGAGGGATGTCTTGTTATTTGGAGGGATGTCTTAATATTTAGTGGGATGTCTTGTTATTTAGAGGAATGTCTTGTTATTTAGAGGGATGTCTTGTTATTTAGAGGGATGTCTTGTTAATTGAAGGGATGTCTTAATATTTAAAGGGGTGTCTTGTTTTTTAGAGGGATGTCTTGTTATTTAGAGGGATGTCTTGTTATTTAGAGGGATGTCTTGTTATTTAGAGGGATGTCTCGTTATTTTGAGGGATGTCTTGTTATTTAGAGGGATGTCTTGTTATTTAAAGGGATGTCTTGTTATTTAGAGGGGTGTCTTGTTATTTAGAGGGATGTCTTGTTATTTAGAGGGATGACCCTTTATTTTTAGGGATGTCTTAATCTTAACAAGACATCCCTCAAAATAACAAGACATCCCTCTAAACAACAAGACATCACTCTAAATAACAAGACATCCCACAAAATAACAAGACATCCCTCTAAATAACAAGTCACCCCTCTAAATAACAAGACATCCCTCTAAATATTAGGAAATCCCTCCAAATAACAAGACATCTCTCTAAATAACAAGACATCCCTCTAAACAACAAGAGATCCCTCAAAATAACAAGACACCCCTCTAAATAACAAGACATCCCTCTAAATATTAAGAAATCCCTCCAAATAACAAGACATCCCTCTAAATATTAAGACATCCCTAGAAATAACAAGACATCCCTCTAAATAACAAGACATCCCTCTAAATAACAAGACATCCCTCTAAATAACAATACATCCCTCTTAATACCAAGACATCCTTCCAAATAAAAAAACATCCATCTAAATAACAAGACATCTCTCTAAATAACAAGACATTCCTCCAAATAACAAGACATCTCTCCAAATAACAAGACATCCCTCTTAATATTTAATTGAGGGTTAAATTCAATATTACATTGTAAACTATATGTCTTTTGATTTTATGAGATTTCGGTTTCTAATAATGCTATCAGAACATAAAAAATTATAGGAAAACCAGGAAAGTTACAACAAAAACTAAGTTTTATTTAATGTTTAATACAAATACCGGGATTTATCTTTCTTATATATTATCTTATTGTGTTATTATTCAAAATTAGCCTAATTAATAAATAAGTGACAACATGACAGTTAAAATTCAACAACAGGTAATGGAATTAAAAGGCAAACAAAAAAGTCTTACAAAATATGAATTATTGGCCTAGCACTGAAAGGGTTAAGAAAAAGACTTGTAACTGCTATCAGAAAAAGACCAACTAAGGAGATGGACCAAGCAACTTTGTACAGTGAGGTTCTTCGTTCAAGCCCATACAAAACCACGAGCACTACTGTTTCGACACTTACTACCACGGCTCAATTTATAACCCCTGTTACAACTAAACAAGTGAAAACTCCTTTGACCGATCCACGAGTTAGCTGGATTTTCGATTTAAATAGAGACGACTTGGTTAGTGAAATGAAAAAGTACGGACTGAGAATTTTTACAGAAATGGAAGTCATACCATTTTGTTCAGAATTTAAAGGGCTACATGATTCTAAATTTTTATCCGAAACGTTTGGTGTATTTAGGAGAAAATTTAGATACTTCGTTATTTTATTGAAATTTTTATGTTTAAATAACATAATATACAATAGCTTTTGAACCAGAATTTTCACAGAGATGGAAGTCATACCATTTTGTTCAGAATTTAAAGGACTACATGTTTCTAAATGTTTATCCGAATCGTTTGGTGCATTTAGGAGAAAATTTAGAATTTTCGTTATTTTATGGAGATTTTTACTTTTGAACCAGAATTTTCACAGAGATGGAAGTCATACCATTTTGTTTAGAATTTAAAGGGCTTCATCATTCAAAATTTTAATCAGAATTGTTTGTTGAATTTAGAAGAAATCCTAATTCTAATTATTTTATGGAGGTTTTTATGGGAAAATAACATAATTTACAATAACTTTTGAATCAGAATTTTTACAGAAATAGGAGTCATACCATTTTGTTCAGAATTTAAAGGGTTACATCATTCTAAATTTCTATCAGAATCGTTTGGTGCAATTAGGAGAAATTTAGATTTTTCGTTATTTTGTAACATGTTAAATTTTGCCATGCAATATTTTAGTGTAAGGGGCCGATTAGCTCCAATGGAAGGTCACAAATGTAAATTTGTATATCCCGCCAAACTTTGAGTCGACTACTTCCATTCGCACAGCGCCGAGCGCTCTGCGCATGCCAAACTGGACCTGCGCACAAGCGTCGTCCCCGGCCGTTGCACCTTAGGCAGCTCTTCGAGACGGTCGAGGCCAGACATCACCTCACCTCACCTCGCATCACCTGACTTGACCTGTCCTCACCTGACCCGACCCGACCCGACTTGACCTGATTCGAACATACCTGACCCGGCCTGAAAAGACCTGACCAAACCCGACCCGTCGGCCTGACCCGACATGAACCGACCCGACCAAACCCGACTTCACCCAATTCGACCCGACCTAACCCGACCTGACCTTAACTCACCTGACTCGACCCGATTCAACCCGACCTGACGTGACCCAACCTGACCTGATCTCACCCGACCCGACCCGGCCTTAACCTGACCTGACCCGGCCTGACCTGACAAGACCCGACCTGACCTAACCTCAACCGATCTGACCTGTCTTCACCCGACCTGACCTGAGCAGACCCGACCTTACCCGAATTCACCGGACCTGACCTGTCTTCACCCGACCCAACCTGATCTGAGCCGACCTGACCTGACCTGACCTGACACGACCTGACCTCGCCAGATATCACCTGACCTCGCCAGACATCACCTGACCTCTCCTCACCTCACCTTACCTGACCTGACCCTACCTGACCTGACCAGGCCTGGCCCGCTCTGACCCAACCTGACTTGACCTCATCCGACCTAACCCGACCTGACATGACCTGACCTGATCTGAGCCGACCTGACCTGTCCTCACCCGACCAAACCCGACCCGACCAAACCCAACTCGAAACGATTCGAACTGACCTGACCTGCCCTGACCCGACCTGAACTGACCCAACCTGAACCGACCTGACCAGAAAAGACCGGACCTTACATGACCTCAACCGACCTGACCTGATCTCAACCGACCTGACCTGACATCACCCGACCTGACCTGAACAGACCCGACCTTACCTGACCTCACCTGACCTGATCTGTCCTCACTCGACCCAACCTGACCTGAGCCGACCTGAACTGACCTGACCAGACCCGACCTAACCTCACCAGACATCATCTGACCTTTCCTCACCTCACCTGACCTGACCTGTCCTAACCCCACCCGACCAGACCTGACCTGACCTGACCTGACCCGACTTGACCTGACCAGGCCTGGCCCGACCTGGCCCGACCTGACCCGACCTGACTTGAACTCACCCGACCTTACCTGAACTGACGCGACCTGACCTCACCAGACATCACCTGAACTCTCCTCACCTCAATTGACCTGACCTGTCCTCACTACACCCGACCTGACCCGACCTGACGTGACCTGACTTCAACCGACTTGAACTGACCTCACCCGACCTAAACCGGTCTGACCCGACCTGACCTGAACTGACCCGACCTGACCTCACCAGACATCACCTGACCTCTCCTCGCCTCACCTGACCTGACCTGTCCTTACCCCACCCGACCTGACCCGACCTAACCTGACCTGACCTTAACCGACCTGACCTGACGTTACCGGACCTGACCCAGCCTGACCTGAACTGACCCGACCTGATCTCACCAGACATCACCTGACCTCTCCTCACCTCACCTGACCTGGCCTGTCCTCAACCCACCCGACCTGACACGACCTGACCTGACCTGTTTTCAACCAACCCAACCCGACCTGAGCCGAAATGATCTGACCTGACCTGACCCGACCTGACCTCACCAGACATCACCTGACCTCTCCTCACCTCACCTGACCTGACCTGTCCTCACCCCACCAGACCTGACCCGACCTGACCTAGCCTGATCCGAGCTGACCTGACCAGGCCTGGCCCGACCTGACCCGACCTGACTTGACCTCACCCGACCTCACCCGAACTGAGCCGACCTGACCTGACCGAACCCAACCCAACCCGACCCGACCCGATCAAACCCGATTCGACCATACCTGACCTGACTGACCCGACCTGACCTGAACCGACCTGACCTGACCCGACCAAGCCCGGCTCGACCCGATTCAACCTGACCTGACCTGCAGACTCAACCTTACCAGACCTGACCTGACCTGACCCCACCTGACCTCACCCGACCTGACCCGAACTGAGCCTACCTGACCTGACCTGACCTGACCTGACCTGACCCGACCTGACCAGACCTGACCTCACCTCTCCCGACCTGACCCTAACTGAGCCTACCTGACCTTACCTCACTTCACATCACCTCACATCACCTCACCTCGCCTCACCTGACTTGACCTGTCCTCACCTGACCCGACCCGACCCGACCCGACCTGACCTGACCTGTTCCGACCTGACCCGACCTGACCTGACCTCACCCGACATGACCCGACCTGAGCCAACCTGACCTGACCTGACCCGTCCTGACCTGACCTGACCCGACCTCACCTGACCTGACCCACCCTGATCTGACCTGACCTGACCTAACCTGACCTGAACTCACCTGGCCTAACCTAACCAACCATCGGCCGGCCGGCGTGGACTGTTCGTTACGTGTATGGGGGCTAGAGTCTCGGTTGGCGTGGATGGTGTAGAGATAACGACGGCTCGAGCTTAACTCTTATCAGAACAGGAGTTTGACACCTACAGTTGCCGTGCACTGGCTTGTCCTTCGCACCGGAACGTAGATGAAGCAGTGATCGGTACATTTAACAGAAATTATGGTATAATTAATAAGTCTTATACTGTTCTTGAGATTGAATAATATATTCGAACTGAGAAACCGTTCGGCTTTCCACGGGTACAAATTATTTAACAAATATCTAAGAAATAACCAAAAAAATAGCAAAAACACTAAGCCTAAAAGGAAACGTGTTCACTCCACAAGCTTCATCCCCTCTCTCCTGATGACCCCACTAGCTCTGCTCAATAATGCAAGTAGACAACTGCATGGTACACCTAGTTATAATTTTTTATTTAATATAAATTTTTTTTCAATTTATGATTATTCCAATAAATTTCAACACATAACCTACACAGTGTTGTTGTCGCTTGAGTGTTTGTGTGTACAATATTGTATACAGGGTGTCCCCGAACTCTCTACCAATATTTTAGGGCATTGTTCCTGGGTAAGAAACATATCTAAATATCATATTTAAATTGTCCGGAAGTTCTTAGTTACCCACAGCAGCCATTTTGTTTTTTTCACTTATTATTTTTTTCTGAAAAGTGGTTAAACATTCGAAATTGAAACTTTGCACAAACATTTATGGCAACTAGACAAAGCTACAAAAAAATTATGACAAATTTCCAATTTCAAAAAACAAAATGGCGGCCATTTACAATTTTGTTTTTTAAATGACTCAAAAATCGTTGATTTTACAATAATGTAACCACCATTTTGTTTTTTGAATTTGGAAAATTTGCAAAATTTTTTTGTAGCTTCGTATAGTTGCCGTAAATGTTTGTGCTAAGTTTCAATTTCGTATTTCAACCACTTTTTAGAAAAAAAAATTAATAAGTGAAAAAACAAAATGGCGGCTGTGTGGGTAACTAAGAACTTCCGGACAATTTAAATATGATATTTACATATGTTTCTTACCCAGGAACAATGCCCTAAAATATTGGTAGAGAGTTCGGGGACACCCTGTATATTTTCTAAATTTTGTATAGTGTGGTCAAAAATGGCATTAGTTTTAAATCGTTTTAAAAAGGGATCTCGGGTCAGCAAAACCTTATTTTCAGCCCAAGGTACGAAATATACTATTATTTTGTTTCAGCTGTTATAGAAAATAGCTATTTACTGTAGGGATTAATGATCTCCAAAATTTCAGGTTAAAAAAATTGTTTCATTGCACTAAATATATACATAAATTAAATATTTCTAACTAATATGTTACGTTTAGTACAATTTACAGTTTAGCATAAGAACACAATCAATCTTAGTGTAAAAAAATGTCCAGGCGTTTATAGCTCACGTTTGCAATCCACAGCAACAATAACACTACAAGGTTATATAGATTTTGAAGTGATCGAACGAAGTCGGTAGCATACAATCTGTGAGTCCGTGTGTAGTGTGTAGTTTGACGCAGGCGCCACAAGTACCCTGGCCCCTAAGACGCCCAGCAGTCTGGCCGTAGCGTCCGTGGCGACGTGACGTATCTGTGACGCTGCATTGCATTAACTTTTTCACGTAAAGTGTACCGGATTTATCACTTAAAATTCCCAACTATTGGAAAATGTATGGTTAACTTTGAACTATTTGTGTGACCAAACTATGGTTAAGACCGAGACAGTTCTACTTCATTGTAGTGAGTTTTGAATATGTGTAAAAACTAGTTTAATCAATTGATTTAATCAACAGTTGATGAACGATTTTAGCAGTAAAATATTTTTGTGGTTTAAGGGTCAGTAAATAATATGTGTGTTACAAACTGAAAAAACAATTTTATAAAACTCAAACTTTTTGTAAGAGAATTATGATTTTCGTTAAACAATAATAATTTTTGTTTAAATACAATTCCTAATTTCAAGAAAAAATCTGTTAGACATAATTTAATCAATGATTAATACATATTGGTAATCGTACAACCCATCACGATTTTTTTTTTTATCAAAAGAAACACTTTTATGTATGTGTAGCTGACTTTCAAAATTATCTTGTTGTGAAAATGTACCATGTCAGCCTAAGCATGTTGGGGAGACGAAAAGCCTTCCACGATGTTAAATAAATGCTGTGCCGATGGTAATCACGTGTCTGTAAACCGATTGCTACTACTTGTCACCCTCTCATTAAGTCTATCGCTGGGTAGCATCCGCCACGACCGTCGGCACCCCCACCACTACAAAGGGTTCCAAGTGCACTTCGAAATGTCAAATATAAGCTACAAGATTCCACACCATAAATTTGGGTTCCCCCACTCCGAATTCCGATCCCTGGTGGACCCCAGTGTGAGTGACGTGATAAAGAGTGACTTAACTTTGTGGCCGGTCAAGAAGGAGGCGGTGTTGGAAGGTGACGTAATTTTGGGAGGTCTCATGATGGTTCATGAAAGAGAAGATTCCGTGACTTGCGGACCCATCATGCCTCAAGGAGGAATACAGGCTTTGGAAACGATGTTGTTCACTCTGGATGTGATAAATTCACAAGGCTTGCTACCCTTCACACTTGGTGCTCATATTCTTGACGATTGCGATAAGGACACTTATGGGCTAGAGATGGCTGTGGATTTCATCAAAGGTAAGTTTAATATTTGAAAATGTTTTATTTGCTTTTAGGTAAACTAGTAGCTTTATTGTTGTACTCGCTGATAAACTTCTAATTAAATTGAAGTAAAATTAACCTTATTTTCATAAAACATTAAAAACAATAATAATTTTTTTTTTATTGGTGATATGTTTATGACTAAAGCTAAAAAAGGTAAAACAGGCGCAGCCCCCTAACCCTTTCACTCTGATGTTTGAAATGCCAACTATTAGCCTAGCAACACTTCCCTATGTTACCAGTTTTCCCCTTGTTGTAAAGGGAGGGTGTTGAATATGCAGACTTTTTTTTAATTCACGTTATGAATAAAAAACACTTTTGTTTCTCTTTCCTACAATTCTACGTATGTTTAATTTAATGAGTGATCAGCGGTTTTAGGTTATGAGAATTTGTATTTTTGTTTAAAAGGGTTACAATGCAATAATTTCAGGAGTGGGGATTGAAGTAGATTAAAAATAAATAAGGTCCATAATAACCCCCCCCTCTTAACTTGCTTTCTGCAATCGTTGGTTAGCGTTCGTTTGTCAAATAATAAAATTCCAGGCTAAAGCAGTGTAATTTTAGGCTTCGTACTTTTATATCCAAGTTAGGATGTCTAATCAATAATATTACTATACTGATAGTTACCTATGTCCGTGTGGTTGATACTTTTAAATACACTTCGGTTAATTAAATACTCCAATCCTATGTTTGTTTCCTTTCTCATTTCCTATGAAAAGTACTATTTTATATGCACAACCTTAAAATCATATAAACGCAATAACCATAGCATCATTTATTTCCTCATTAACTATCATATAATAAGAAATTAAAACAGAAAGCTGTAATAGATAATAGGATATCACAAGAGAGGTTCAACACACAAGGTATAATAATACACCTAGACCTTTATAGATGTCTCGTTTCTTGAGTATCAAATGTTAATGATTTGAGGTGGGGACGTCATCAAGGTGCGTATTTTAACTCAAATATGAGCGAAGGATGAGTGTAGAATGGTGTGAAATGATCTGTGTAGCTGACTATTATCTGCTGGTATTTTAGTCAGGATATACAAATGAAATAGACAAACTATATAATAATTAAATTAAATGCAGACTGTCTATTTCATTTGTAATCACCCTGTACATAAAGCCTAATGATCAGGAACAGTTGATGATGGGTCCAGTTTGATACTATCAAAAAGATACTATGAATATTTCAACCATGAAAGCAACTAATATTCAGGATCGAGCCTTTTATCCACGTTTAGTGACAAAAACTAGTGTTTGACTCGAAATATTTTCTTCCAACTCCTAGCGAGGCGTCCCCCTCAAAAGGTAGCGTATCACCGATGTGTTAAAACGATGGTTTTAATGCGTATTAGTTGTGCACCAAGATTTAAAGCTCTGCCTGTATTTTTTTTATATTGAACTGTACCGGATCTTTTTCCACTCTGTATATTAAACAATTTGAGCGAACATGTAGAGTTTTTGGCCTCTAGAGACATAAAAATAAACTATATCGGTCCCAGATCTTTGTGTTTCCATGCCACCTACGGTAATAGCTACTCATAGGGACATTTGATAAAACAATGAAACACTATATGGATGTAATTTAAATTCCATTATATTTTACCAATATTTGAGTATAATAATACTTGTTAGACTAAAATAAAACATATCTCGTCTTGCAGTTCAAACTTCAAATAGTGTGTTTTTTTTTAATCCACTACATATTTCGCCATGTTGGCATTTTAAAGTGGTATACAGAAACATTAAAACATTATGCTATCCGAATTGCATTTGTCAAGTTGTAGAAATTTACATTTACACATAAAACTGTACATACATTTAACACGCACGAACAAAACATTTTCGTGTAGGCCTACAACACTTATTGCAACCCGATCACGGCACTGACAGAGACAGAATACCAGATTCTGTATACCACTTGAAAATGCCAACATGGCGAAACATGTAGTGGATAAATAAAACACACTATTTGAAGTTTGAACTGCAAGACGAGGTATGTTTTATTTTAGTCTATACTAAGCAGTTCAGGGGCTAAAAAATGGAATTTAATACTTGTTATACCCAAACCAAAGGAACAGCAATGGAAAATCCACTATTATGTTTTATTGCAAATATATTCATGAGTCATTTTGAAACAAAAGCAATAGAAGTAATGGAATATTTCCCAAGAACCTAGTTGAGTCACGTTGACGATATATTATCAGTTTTTGATTGGAAAGAAAACGTTAATGGATATGTCAACAAATTGAACTCTTTTGAATTAAATTCATATATATAGGTAGAAAATTATAAAAAAAAGATCTCGTTTCTGGATGTACTAATCCTATGGAGTGATGAAAAAGAAAATATGTTGGTAAAAGCTTTTAAAAGAAATAACAAAAAGAAATGAACTAAACTAAAACCGATCAAAGAAAATAAAAATGGATAAACACTACCTATACCAAACAAATATAAAGAGATCAGAAAAAACGTTTAAAAATTATTTATTAACAATTCCATTTAAAGCTAAAAACAAAACTTAAAATATTCTTGGAAATCCTAAAAGTAAATTAGAAAATACGAAAAAATCTGTCATTTAATTTAGTGTGACAGTTGTGAGATGAAGTATGTTGGACAAACAAAAAGAAATGTAAAAACTGGATACAAAAAACACTCTTCTCAAATAACACACAACGGACCTGAAAAATCAGCAATAGCAAAACATTTTTAGAAACGGATCACACAATTTCAAGCAAAAATACTAAATTCCTAAAAAATATAACAAAATCCAATTAACAAAATAATGCATGGAAATCATTATTTATGAATAAAATGAACTATAATGATAATGGTCCATTTCAAAGTGTATCATTACTAAATTACAAATTTACAAACTTATACCTTAAATCTACTTCATATTTCATATTTATATCAACATATAATAATTTATTTTTGTAATTTTACCTCAATGTACTTAACAGAATAATTTTAATTTTTAACCAACAATTTGTTATATTTTTAAATTGTTTATGTAAACATGAACATATTATCCTTTGTGATGTGTCTGATAATGGCAGCATAGCTGACGAAAGGCCTCACGAAATTAAAAATTTGTTAAATATTGGTGATGTTTTTATTTTTAATTGTATTTTTTACCAATTACTACAACGATTTCCATAACCATTTAAAAACTGTTTTCAAGTAGCCTTGTCATACAATATTGTAAACAACATAATTGACTTTATATACTACAAAATAAAATTTATCCTGGTGAAAAGTTCTTTAGTCAATTTCTTTATGTGTTTTTCAGGTCCGTTTCTGTGTATCAGTGATGATTTTTCTGTGAGCACTGATGTTTATTAAATAATGTTTATTATCAGAAAGAATTTTACTGAGTGTGTTAAAATGTGGAAAACTAACGTTAAAAAATTTAATTTATTTTTTTTATAGAACTAAAGTTAAGAAATTAATAGTGTAAGTTTCAAACTACCTACTACTGCCCTACTACTGGATGTGAAAATCCAAAATAATAAGCTACGCCTTTTTGAAAAGACAAGAATGCTATTAGAGTGTATGAATACAGACACGCTGACGAAAGGAAAATATATTCAAGTTTTGTTTAATTTTTTAGTGTGACAGTTGTCAGATAAAGTGTTTTGGACAAACAAAATGAAAAAAACATCAATTATTGTTAAACAAATTTTTTTAAAGCAAAAACATCTGTTTGTTAAATTTTAGATATTAGTTAGGCACTATTTACCAAAAACATCTATGAGGACAAAAACAGCAAAATAATTATTCATTACCAAAGTTTATGCAAAATTAGCTAATAAAAAAGCAACTTCAAAATTGACCAAAAAGCTATATACTACAAGGAAAAAAGAAAAGATAACAATTCTTCTGGACGTGAAGCAGAGTCTAAACCTATGGAGCGCAATTGTCAATGAGTGCTATCCTAAACTTTCCCTTGACAAATTATTGGACCCGAATCACAAACAACAGGGCTTTGGTTTACTTCCTTGGATTAACTTGTGGTTAAAAATGTCTTCTACGTATGTAAATACATTTTGATATTTATTTCTAATTATGGTTTTTATGATGTTTAGCTGGTGTTTATGTATTATCGAGCGTTTGATTCTTTGAAAAATTAAATAAAATGAAAAAAAAAACTGAATGAAAAATGTCTTTATAAGAGGCGAAGTAAGGACTTGCAAGTCCTCTCAACTACTTAACCTCTAACACTCTTTCTGTGATGTGTGATAACAATAGCCATACAATGTAGAAAACCCAACTAAATTTCTTAGTGAAATTTGTCCAATCAGTATCCTACTAACTGTAACTGTTTCTTTTCCATTTCAGGGTCCATCAGCAACATAGATGACACCGAGTTCTACTGCAACAAAAGCTCAGTTCGTAAAGTGATTTCTGGAGTTGTTGGAGCAGCTTCCAGTGTCACCTCTATACAAGTAGCTAACTTGCTCAGGTTGTTTAAGATTCCACAGGTATGAAAAAAATTTTGTCGTAAGTGGATATAAGTTACCTGCATACAAATAATCTCTATTGCAATGTTACATTGAGAAAATGAACAGTATATTCATGCTGTATTATGGTAGATCAATAACTTCTGTTAATAAAAGTAGTTAAATACGTTTGCCAGGTCGTACGCCTATCGGGCAATAGGTTTTATAATTTTTTAATTGTACTAGTGTATTGGTGACATAATAGGGTGTCAAAAGTGTTTACTTTGAAAGAGCATATTTAGTATCAATCAAATTTTAAAGCTTAAGAAAATCGTTACGCATATATATATCTATACTATTATATTATATATATATATTTATTTTAATATCAAGAGAGTAATATTGCTTTTAAAGCTGCGAAAATCAATTTATAAAGTTACATATTAATTTATTGTATTTACGTGAATCACAATTATTTAATTTCTCAATGGTTGAATTAAAATTACTCGAATACAACGTTACTTAAATATTAGGTAATATAATACACATAGGTAATGTAATATACAGCAGCTTGCATCAGTAGTTGAGCTGAGTAGCTCAACTAGACTAGATATCATGGTTTGTTATAAGACAAGCTTCCACAAAGTCTGTATGGTCATTTAATTTGCAGTAGTATGGCTTTCCCAATTCCAGACCAATACAATCTTTCATTGTTAAATAAATCTTCTTTGCATGCACTGTTGAATAAGAAGGTGAACAAAATCTAAAGATCTTACTAGATTTTGAGCTTGACAGTCAAACAATGCTATCAGATCGTAAGAAAGCGTTTCTGCCAAATAAATTGGCAGGCACACTCATCGTTACATGATGGAGCAAAACTGATTTTTTTATATCATATTTCGGAATCAGTTTTTCCTGCTGATAGAGAAAGCTTTACATATTAACATAAAATTTTAAATGTTTAGTAAACGTCCCTTCATTTGGATCAGCTTCTAGTTTATACTCATATAAAACATAGTTAAATTGACCTCTCATTGAACGTGATGGATCCAAAGTTTTATTAATTTTTTTTAGTTTTAAATACTGCAATACGGTAGATTATAGTTACAGTAAATATTCTATAGTTCACATTATCCCTAATATTTCCTCCATTGTTTACTAGATCTGATTTTTATCTCTGGCAAATTCTGCTGTACATTATTCTCCTGTTGTGACGGCATACTCTGTCTATGGTTAGATTCAAGTAAAAAAATAAATTCAAATCATTGGTTTCCCTTCTTGTAAGAATGACTACAACTTAATCTGAAAGATTAAAGTTAAAATACGTTTCTGAAAAAATTGATAAGACCTATGTTAAAAACTCAATACTAAATATATAAATAATTCGTTTTTAACAGTGACAATAATATGTATTCTATTCACTTATTGATTTCGATTATCGGGGGTCATGAATAAAATTCTACAATCTCCACAAATTTGTCCCACCAATTTTCCAATGGCTTCAACCAAATTTAATGTATCCTTAATGATCATCAAAATCTTTAGCTTGTCTAGTCTTTTAAATTTCAATAAATAATTAGCGTTAAGTTCTTTTTCCTTAAATTCTCAACGCTAAAACTTAAATTATTAATGCTTACAGTTTTTAGCTTTGTACAGTAAGACACCAAATTAAAAAAATGAATTAATATCTTATCTTTTTATTAATATAGAAAAATGGTGATTATTAAATTCAGACGAAGGTTTAAATCTATTAGAGTATTGAATACCTAAAGCCTGACCTCAGAATCAAGCTAGCCAAATAGAACAGAATTATTGTCGGTTTTGGAACTAAATCAATATTGACACAGAAGACTGGGGCAGTCCATATATCACTTGGATGTCTAAGAACTGTCAGGGAAAGATGACTAAGCTAAGGTCAACTCTATTCATGCAAAGAGTATTTGGGTTCTGCTTATAATCCGAACATATTTGAGAGATATTTTCATTTTATGTTGTATTTGTAGTGATTTAAATTCATAATTACACCGCATCTTTTAGTATGTAGTATTCCTAAAAGTGTTTTAGTTTCAATCATAGTACTTAGGTATTTAAAATTGCATGACAATGTAGGAGGTTGGAATTATGCGTAATTCTGGTGTGTGAAAACTTGTATCGTGCAATCCATTATATTCTTATACCATTGACTAAATATTCTCATTTTCATAGATTTATATTTTTTATGTTTGGACTAGTTAAGAGCGATTTCATGGTATTTTTATGATCGGGGCATGTAGAATATATTTTAAGGTTTATCATATACGTTTGTTGTTTGACTAACTTTAATGTAGTCAAAACTATAACCTCACGCAACAATCAAAATGTCGCTGGTTTCATCCTGAGTAGCTTTTTGAAAGTTCGAAACTGGACCCAGCTGTTCCTCTGATCATTGGACGAAATATATGGTCCTGGCTTAAGAAATAGCTGATCTTAGTCAGTAACAAAGTAACACGGATCATCACATTTCATTCTACACTCGCCCTTCACTCATATTTCGTTTATAATACTCACCTAGATGTCGTCCCCTTCTCAATTGGTTTTAATAATAAAACCGCAAGACAGGATAAATAGTACACCATTGCTTGTTCTCTGCTGTTACTGTCAAATAGTAAAATCCATTCATTAAGAAACTTGAATCATTTTACGTTATCGTACATGCCGACTAAAGCTTATTACAGGATAATATCCTTTACCGGTACTTGATGTGCGCACTGCACAGTGCCGATGTAGGCATGTGATTAAAGGATAACTATTTTTCATTCATAACTCCGAAAGAAGATTCCCGTGTTCATTTTGTATGATATTGAGGATTATGAATGAGGCAACCATTTTTTTTATAAAAAACATGATGTTTCTAGATTTCATTCTTATCAAAGCCAATTTCTATTAGAACTTGCAATAGGTTTTTCAAAATATTGTTTACTAGTAAATGTGCCAGATCACGGTGTAAATCACTATATGACTACCTATATCAACTAACGACATTCTTTCTGTGACATCATCACTAACACGTATTAAACTTTTTAACTTCATTCTTCTCGCTTTTCAACTTAAGCTAGATTTAAGCACCTTCTAAGGGATCGAGTAGAAACTCCAATCATGGTCAGACCCAATAGATGATTATTTATTGATTGGCTGATGCTATAGTATGATGTATGATATTAAGGTCCTGTGAGGACAACATATATAATCAGAGAGCAAAATTGTAACTAGTGTTTTACTGCTTCCTCTATTTGCACTGATGATAATCAACCAATACAAACCCAATCAACTACATACTGTTTTTATCAAATCTAAACAACTTATATCTCTGGTGGTTCTAAGTTGCTAGTCTGTTGGATATCATTACTCAAGTTACAGCTTAACTGTTATATTACAAGTAACATGCGCTCAAATAAATATTTTATCTTTAAATGTTACAGGTGTCCTTTTTCTCCACATCTCCGGAGCTGAGTAACAAACAGAGGTTCGAGTATTTCACGAGAACCATCCCATCAGACCATCACCAGGTCAAAGCTATGGTAGAAATAGTCCGGAGGTTAGGCTGGAGTTACGTATCGATCATCTATGAGGAGTCCAACTACGGCATTAAGGTAAGAAGTTGTTGTCAAAAAAAAAACATTTCGTTGACGAACGGAAAACAATTTTTACCATATTGTGTTGCTGCTTGAGATTTTTTGAAAAATCATAAATCAAACGTATTAACTTATTTAACTTGTCAGAAAAAGCTGCTGATAAAGCCCCTAAAAGTTTATAAATATGCCTTATATTGATCCCATGTTTATCTATCCGAAAGCATATGCGCTTAACCACTAGGCAAGGTATCAACTGCCACCACACCAGTAACCGTGTCTCTCTATCCGAATGCCAGTAACTTAACCATTAGACAAGCTATCAATTGCCGCCACACCAGTAACCGTGTCTTGCTATTCAAGAGCCAGTAACTTAACCACTAGGCATGCTATCGACTGCTGCCACACTAGTAACCGTGTCTCTCTATCCAAGAGCCAGTAACTTAACCACTAGGCAAGCTATAAACTGCTGCCACACCAGTAACCGTGTCTCTCTATCCGAAAGCCAGTAACTTAACCACTAGGCAAGCTATCGATTGCCGCCACACCAGAAACCGTGTCTCTCTAACCACGAGCCAGTAACTTAATCACTAGGCAAGCTATCGACTGCCGCCACACCAGTAATCGTGTCTCTCTATCCGAGAGCCGATACGTTAACCACTAGGCAAATTATCAACTGCCACCACACCAGTAACCTGATCTCTCTATCCGAGAGCCAATACGTTAACCACTAGGCAAGCTATCATCTGACGCCACACAAGTAACCGTCATGTCTTTTCTGTTATGGAAGTTCATTCATTATACGTTGAAAAATAATTTTAATTTAACTGGTACTTCTTTTGTTGTCCACTCTTCTAATAGGATAAATAATACCCCCGCCGCAGCAAACCTGCCGTCTAAGCGAATTTCCATTTGGCCGAATTGATTTTCAATTATTGATCTATTTAAATAACATTATTAGGTTTAACGAGTACCTAGGTTTGCTGCTACAAGGAAACTATTAAAGTACGGTAGTGTGTTCTTAGTAAAATATTGATAGCTTACTATAAAATAAATAAATTTGCCAAGTTTGATCAAAATATATCCATAAAAAGCAAACTACAACACTTTACAATATTCTCCATAAGAATAACATGGGAATTTCAAATTTACAATTTTTTTAGTTTTCTCCGTAACCAATAACCGCACAAAAACACTTTGATATACTGAATTGTTTGTTTTTTTAAGCTCTTTAAGAAGGTTTAGAGAAAAATTGGAAAATTTTGTGTTTTGAGGGTAAAAAGTGAGAAAACCCAATTTGTACCCCATAAAACCCCCCATAAAACCCTGTTCCCATGGTCCGATCATGCTGGATCGCGAACTCATTCAAGTTTATCCCGCCTTACACCTTCAAACCAAATTTCATCAAAATCGGATAAAAATTACTCAAGTTATCGTGTTCACGGACACATATATATATATATAAATCTATATATATATATATATATACATATATAAAAATTTGAACGAATGGTGTTTTTGGCCTCTGGGGACATTAAAATGAAAAAGTAAATCGGTCCCGGGCCTAAGTCTTACCATGAGACCTACGGTAATAGCTACTTCCCTATAGGGAAATTCGCTAAAAATGTTCAAACAGTAACTAAAAAGTACAAATCGTAACACAATGAATATTTCACCATAAAGCGACGTATAAATCAACTAAAAACAATGACAAAGGAACAATTAGGGAATATTTTATGGTTACATAAATCGAAGATGTAATAATTACGGGCTGACTAAGGGGATTTCACTCATCTAAGATCAGATTTCATTCGTAATTACATGAATTACTCCGTCTCACGATCCCTCACGCAAACTGCCTGACTTAGCTTGTAGACCTTATGTTTTTATGGCATAAATAAAAGTAATGTTAATGAACACGATATTTTAACGATTCATACAAAGGAACTTTTGTACCAATGACATAATTATTCACATATGTAAAGTGGTTACGTAATCTGTTGTCTAAATAAATAAGTGATGTCTAAATTTAGTCAATAAGTGAAATATTGTAATCAAATAAACAGATTTTTCACATACTAACATTTTTTAAACATATTAACCAATATATTTTATAGAACTCTAGCTAATAAGAATACCCTACATAGGCAAATTTAAAAGAGCATAGCTCTTTTAATAATTTGTTGTCGGTTTTAAGCTCTTTTGGCTTTCGTAATAAATCATTGTGTAATTCACATTGTGTTTTTATATGTTATTTGTCCAAATCTCATGTAAAACTAGATTAAGGGGTACAGTTTCTTAATAATTGGGCCATGCTAATATCAATTGAAACTATCGATTCGATTAGTAAACCTTCATGCGAATTTTTCACCATCAGCAGCTTTGGTTGGTTAGGTTAGGTTATAATAGTTTAATTTTATAATAGATATATTTAAAAGTATCGATTATTGATCAATATTTTTAATTCGATAGTTTCAATCGATATTAGCATATCCCAGTTAACACTATTCGTGCTGTCGACATGTTTGAACATAAAAGTTGCATTTATTTCAATGTTAAGCAATTGCGGGAATTCCCGTCATCAGCACCCAACGTGTTAAGAAACTGTACCCAGATTAAGTATTCTTCAATGTTTAGGACCTTAAAACTTTATATACTATATTAAAGATACTCCTATACAATGTTAGACAAGAGATTTACTGTAGGAAAATAATATTGATAAAATAAAATGATTACCTTATCCAATCACAGTTTGTGGTTGGTATGACGAGTAGATTCGTTCCTTATAACTTCTTCAGGTCATTTTGTATGCAACCACACCATCAATGCATTATATATGTCAATAGATGCTTTGATAGACTGCCACAATCACAATAATTAAAATGAAATGAAAACTGATTAAGCTCATTAAAACTCTACAGGCTAGGCACCACTGTCTTATACAGCCACTGACTAAACATAGCTGACTAAATCATGATGTTTCATCTTCTTCTTTCCAGTGCCACCTGTATTTCAGTTAGTTTTGTTCTTCTTATTTAAAATGTCTTTGGTTTGTAACTTTTCAATATATGTATCAAAGTAATATTTGACTATAAAGAATTCTGATAATTTAAAATGCTACATGGACCTAGGTTTTTAAATGTTCAGCATAACTGGATTGCTGAAATTAATATGTATGCATGAAAATATGTAAAATGTTATAAAACACAACAACAATACAACGTCGCTGTGTAGTAATAGAAGCACACATGTGCTGGGGTATCCACGGTGTGGCCGACGCTTAACACCGTTGTCGATATTGAACTATAAGATAATATTTGATTTGGTTTATTATTCGTTAAAAGTTATCAGTTATACTTAATTCTTTTCGGGGTGGTATACTATCAAAACTGAGTAGTAAATCACTACTCATCTCACGTGTACTGTAAGACCGCATTTAAAAATAGTTTACGTATGGTTAAGCTTAAATAAAGACAGTATGACAGTAAAAAAATATGATAATACTACTTTTTAGCCAAGATGAGCTTGACTCCCTTCAGTTGAAGTATTTTGATCCAGAGATGGATAGATTTTACGGCCTCTATTTTACTCTTTCAAAGACATGGTTATCACTCATAGACCTATACTTAACAATCTGCGTGGAAGCCTATTATCAAGAATTACAAATTACTTTTATGATAACATTTATTACAAAGACCAATTTATAATATAATTCTAAAAATAAATATTTATTGCTTCAGTTTGTTGTTGTTGTGATAAAAGTCAAGCTTTTAATTGTATACAAAATATCCAAAGCAAGGTACCGTATTTAAAGTACAATTTGTAAATCATGAGGTGTCAATAAAAATCATAATATGGATAAAAAATTTAAAAACTATCAGTTGATGTCAAGAATTTTTTTTTACATATTTATAATGACTAGTTCCTCAAGCAATTTCGAAATGTTTTTATTGACAGCTTTTTTATTTTCAGGCATTCGAAGAGCTTGAAGTTCTACTAGCTAAGTATGACATCTGCATAGCTATAAAAGAAAAGCTAGTGAAGGATTCCGGTGTGGCTGAAGAGAGTGCTTATGACTACATAGTGCAAAAACTCCTTACAAAACCCCGAGCTAGAGGTATTAAATAATCTAATTTCAAATAGCTCACTTTCATTCTCTCAGTTTTAGTATAAATTAAAATAATAATACCCCCGCCACAGCAAACCTGCATACTAAGCGAATTTTCATTTGCCTGATTGGATTTACACTAAAATGTCTCCTTAAAAATATTAAATTTATTTCCTATTTAAATAGCATTAGTTTAACGAGTACTTAGGTTTGCTGCCACAGGGAGGGTGGGAAAAAAGGTTTTTTTGTAAAATTTTTATAGTTTAGTATGAAATGAATGAATTTTCCAAATACATAAGCATTTCGCTTCTTGCTTATAGTCTGTGTGTTACAGCATTTGCGACTTTCTAGGTTTGGCCATTAAAGAAAAAGAGATTTCAGGTTGGTTTTGAAAATGTTTAGATTTGTTTATCTCCTTATTTGACTAGTGGACCACATTGGTGTTAGCTAAACAAATGCCCCTCGTTGCCTTGTCTTTATTATGCTGCTTGTGACAACTTTGTTATTTTTTCCGGCCTTGCCACTGTATTATATTTGATGTTTATACCTCATTAAATGTTAGTTAAAATATTTGTTACCCACGGGCTTCATATGTTACCCCGTTTGACTTTATATTATTAATAAAACCATTGATTGGTTAACTAAGCTGAAATTAACAAAACAGAATACAGTAATACAAATGATCACACCTGATTTTAACAAGGTAATACATTGATAGAATAACACACAAATAAGTAGAGCTGAGGTATTTATAACATTAGGTGTATGGAAAGTTCCCTTTTGAAACAAATACGACCTTAAAGGGCAATTTATGAAATAATGGATAGTTTTGCGCAATTTTTTCGTCATGACGAAAATTTTAAGTACATGGTTTATAGGAGTGTGACTTGTAGTAAGTTTTATAAACAAAACCAGCTGGGATTATGGTATTTTCTTGAGTCTTGAATTTTAAAGTGAATACACTTCTAAATCTGTGTTTTAAACCTGTATTTTTATTAAGATTTCTAACAAAATCAGCCTCAATATCACCCAAGTAGCCTACTGGAACTGGTCTATATGCTGTTTGTTCACAATTAACTGCTGGTCTTTTCTTTAATCTAGTGTCACTTCTATAATTTTATAGAAGTTTTTGTTAAACCAACTTTTTGTTCCTGGACATGCGGTTTCACTAACTATTCTCTCAAGTCTTCTATTGTAGACATCATACACGAATCATCAGCAATATCTACGTCCTCCAGCCAGTCAACCCCCTTGTAAGCCGCTGGGTAACCTATTCACCTCCCTCATCACTTGATCTGTGACCATCAAGAATATTACTGGCGAGAACAAGCAGCCCTAATTGACTCCTGAACCAACTTGGAAAGGATCCGACAATTTTCATTTATGAATTATAACACCTGTACGTTGTATATTTTTCTATGATGTTAATTATTTTTGCATCTACGTACTAGAGTTTCTTGAATTAGCCATCTACTGAAAAAATAAAAAGCCTTCTCAAAATACACAAACACTAGATACATTGGCGACCGGTATTCTAAACTCTGTTCCATTATTATCCTAAGAGTGTAGAACATGTCTATGCATGAATAGTTTTTTTAAGGCCACCTGCTTCCTCTATTGTTTGGTGTCTACTATCTCTTTAGTTGTGTTTAGTTGTTTATTATTCGATTAAGAATTCCACTATCCACCGAGTGTAATGTAATCCCCTACAGTTGGAACATTTAGGCTTCTCCTCTTTTGTGATCCTATTCTTTAAGCCTTTTTACAGTCTTCAGGTATCAATGTATATACATTTATTCCTTTATCCGTATCTATTTCAGCAAAGGGTAGCATATTTCCGTTGTTAGGTTTAGATTTGCTGTAGGCATTTCAAGAACAATTTTATCAGCACTAGGTGATTTTTAATTTATTTCCTTAATTGCGGCTTTAATTTCGACCTACGCAGATACGGCAGTACTTATTCTAGTGTCTCCTTTATGCTGTATTTTTATGACATTCAGCTTCCCTATTATTTTTTCTCGGCTCTACCCGTCTGTAAAGCTGTTCTTTAAAGAATTATTTTTAACAGAAGTCCTTCATTCACTTTGACTCTACCATTCTTATCATTAATTGGATTTGTTCTGTCATAGAAGGTCATTAATTAATTATTACTGTGTATTAACGCCCGGCCGTTACAATCCACCTTTCAACAATGTATGTGAAAATCACGCCAGGAGGGTGTAATGAATCTCCTGGTTATTAAATTTGAGAACATATCTTCATTTCCTTTTTACCAGTGTTTATTATTATTATTATTATTTTATGGCCAGCATTGGACCACTTAAGTCAATATAATGGTTAGATTCTTTTTAAATTCTGTCTCTTCTTCTTGTCCGTCCAATACTTCTTCATTCTTTCCGACCGTTGTTTTCTTTCTTCTTCCGAAACTACTCTTCCTTGTCTCTGATTGTTTGTTCCTATTGGCAGGATGATATTTTTGTCTTTGAGTACTGCAAGCGCCTCTGACTTATTTTCCAAATCTTCTAATGATATGTTCAACCTTCTCATGTCCTCCTTAATCTCTGTAATCCACCTAAAGTCACTCTTGCTATTCCACAACTTGTCAATTATTTTCTTGCTTATTCTATTTTCCGGTGTCCTTAAAAGATGTCCAATGAATGAAATTCTTTTCTTTTTAATTATACTTGTTAATGGCTCTATTTCCTTATATACAGTTTTATTTGAGGCCAGTCTCCAAACTCCATCTTTTTGATATTTTTTGTTTATACATGTTCTGATGATTCTTCTTTCTATTTTTAGTATTTTATCCATTGCTACAGTGTTAGTTGTTTTAAACATAGTTTCACTTGCATATGTTATTTGTGGAAGTATAACTGCTTTGTAGTGTTTCAATTTTGTTGCTATTGATAGGCATTTTTTGTTGTATGTGTTCTTAGTAATATGTTGCATTCTGATCAATTTATTAATTCTATTTTGCCATGATGGATTTTCTTTAAGATTGTATGTTATAACTTCACCTAAGTATTTGAAATTTTCTACAATTTTGATGCAATGTTCTCCAATTTTGATTTTGTTAGCCAATGGTGGTTTTGTTAACATTATTTCAGTTTTCTCAAAAGAAATTTTTAGACCTATGCTCTGGGCTATTTCCTGAAGTGATTTTATTTGTTGCTTGGTTTCTTGGATGTTATTAGCTAGAAGAGCCAGATCGTCAGCAAATCCTAAACAGTTTAACTTTATGTCATCTTACCAGTGTTTATATTATACCATTATAATATTTTTAGTCATTAGAACAATATCAGCCATTAATTTAATTTCTATATGAATAAGACTTGAAATATCAACAATTATTCCATATTAACAAGTACAATAAATGTTACGATCCAGGCTTCCCAATTATTACAGTTTTGTAAATACATAAGTACATTTTCGAATCAATCAAATAGGAAGTAATGCAATGCTGTAAAACCAGAGCCAGGGATATCAAACATGCGATAGTTTGAACGAATGACTAGAACCTAGACATTGAACTACTGAAACTACATCCTCTCCACGAGAATGCTAACATTGTGAATCTGACAGGGTGGATTGGTAGGCACTAAAGATCTGGACGTGAATAACAACGGGCAAACGTGCTGCGCATACCGAGTGAAGGGAGATTTAGTGCTCAATACATTAGTTTCTAGCGAGAGAATTCCGGACGTACATGTTCTCGCTCTTTTCATTTAGTGGTGAAACAAAACTCGTGCTTTATATAATGTATCTTGTTACTTATTGAATTACATAAATACATTTCTCTGAAGCTTAATATAACAATCTTTGATTGTACCGTAATCTATGGTTGAAGTAATGACACCTAGAATAAATTATTATTGACAACGCAAAAGTTCTGAATATTAAGATTTTATTTTTTATGTATTATATCATTAGCAAGTAATGTTTATGAATGTTTACAATTGATGACAATCCTAATACAATCACCTTTTTTAATGGATCTTTGATCTTGGTATTATCTTTGTTTTAACAGACTGGTGTATTTAATTTTGAATATCATTGGCAGTTTTGAGTAATTAAAATTTATAAGTTATTACTCTAAAGAAAATGGAGTAAGGAAATATTATTGTATCATAAACCATTTATAAAATATTAATTTGATTACATCCTCAGCAAAGAACGCTAGAGGAACCCCTTTAGTTATTAAAACCCCAGTTTTAACCTTGATTGTACATTGAAATGCACCTATAAATTGAAAGAAATCCTTGACTCTTAACCTTTGGTTGTCTGTGACTCATTGGTTGCTAATCAATTTCCCAAGTGGGATGTTCTATTTTATTGCCTCTTCCTTGGTGTATAAAACTAAGGCAACATAGGAAGCGGTTTCGTCTGGTTAATATGTAAGGCGTTTTGTTTATTGCTTTTTTCACTGTAAATGATTTAAAATGACAACAATTATAAGTGTATCAACTTATTTTGTCAACTATTACGTTTTTTTTTTAATTAGCAAAGTTTTCAGGACAAAAGAAAATATACCCAAAAGTAAAAGAGACACATTGTCTAAATTGCCCTTATACAAAATCAATGTAAAACCCATTAATAAAGTTATAGGTTTTACTTAAAGGTGTAACATAGTATTCCTTATTGTACTTCTCAAAGTAAATGTCTGTCTTTGGGTATGTTTTGTTTACAAGACATTATACTACAGCACCAGTTTTTTGTGAAAAGTCTGCGAAGGACTTATTTGTATGTGTAGACCCATTGCTTGCTGAAATTCGTTTTTATGATCCACCTTCACATCCTAGGACGCTACGCCAGAGAGCACAGAACAGAAATACAAAGAGGTACTGCAAAAGTTTTTTTTTTTTTTTTAGAGGTGCTACGTATATCCAGCAAGCATTACGGGCAGTGAAGCCAATCCCCCACCACTCATACGTGCAGTGGCAGTAACTGCTGCATGTAGCGGTAGAACACATTTTTCGGATATCCGATGATTAGACACATCCTAGAGTAGACTTAAAATTACCAAATTTGGCACAGCCAATTTAAATTAGTGCTCCTTACTGAAAGTAAGATTGTAATAAATAAATATATTTAATTTTACTTTAATCAACCGTTAAAAATTCAAGAAACTGTTGAATTGAGTATTAGAACATGAATAAGTAAGTTATCTAGAAAATTCTATATTTTTTGACCAGGAAAGTTTTGTTGGCGGCAAATTTTTAGAGCTTGAGTTAACCAAACATATGTTTTTTTTCGAAAGAGTATGATCAGTGGTTTTGGAAATAAGTCAGAAAAGGAAGAGGAAGCAAGATTTGCGTATGGCTGACGCTCGGGTGCTGCCTTACTGCACACACAATAATTTATTGATTATCTAGATGATTTTATGACCGTATATTTCCTTGTATGCGTTCTTTATTCACTTTAATGTATAAGTTTTTTATATACTGTAAGTGATATTTTTTCCATATGATGGCTATTATATCTATTATTGTTTAACGTATTTAATGACTATCAACCACAAAATCCAAACCAGAAAGTTAACTTAATCATCATTGGTGCGTAGCTATATGAGCTTAGTTCTATATGTTTTAAAATATAATCATTAACGAACTTTTTATGATATAAACATTTCACAGAGTAAAGCTTGGTCCCAGATAGTATTTAGTTCATAAAATAAACACCTACAGTAAAGGATATTTTACATAATATTGTTATATTTGAAATATAAAACAAGTATGCGAATATAAATAAACTGAATGCTTTTGATTTGTTTTCTGCACAGTACTCAATCTATACTGTATACATTAAAAATCGTGTTAAGATGGCAATGAAACAATACACTTTAAGTGATCTATTCACTACGGTAAATTGGATATTTTACAAGTATTTTTACAACATAAACACGTTCACATAAATAATTTGGAAAATAATATACATGCTTGGTTTCCACCACTTGTAGCTATTCTAAAATGTTGTTTTTTACCGTTCCTGACTCCAGTTGCATGCATCAGTCTATGCATTTTGCATAGACGGCTGAGACGCGTGGAACTAGGATCACTCACCGCTCTCCCCACCACTTATAGCCTACGGCCAACGCCGATTTTCGGGTGGCTTCACCTCTCTCGCATGATGCCCTCTCCAATTATATCCTGGGGTCTCTGCGCTACGCTATAGTCTAAAATTATTTACACAATAACTTTAGAGTAGGCTTTGAGGGTCGTAGCACTACTAAAAATAGAATGAATGCATTGCTGATTGGCGAGATTTGAACCGAGGACCTAGGAGACCAAAGTCCCCTACTTAAAGCTCGCTCCTTGAGAAGCAAGTTTACAATGACTGTTACTTGCCTTACCTCCTTGGCCATTGAAACCTCAGAATTTTGTTGGCCCCGGTTTGTATTCATTGGCCTCGCCAACGATGCTTTTCCACTCTTCTCTATTCTCCACTGCCTCAGGAGTAGTGTCCAACACAGCCACATCCTTCAGCCCCTGACTCCTCCATCGCGGTCTCGGCTGTTCTGCCTTCTGGTTTGTTCTGGTCCACAGCTTTAATTAATGATGAGTTCTCTTTCCTCCACATATGTCCAGCCCATCTCTGTCTCCTACTTTTTATCCTTGCTACTACATCTGGATGATTATACACATCTCTCAATTCTCTTTTCTTCCTAATTCTCCAGCCTTTTTCATCTTGAATTGGTCCGTATATTTTTCTCAGAATCTTGTTTGTAAAAATAATAAGTTTCTTTTCAATTCTTTTGTTAGTGCCTATGATTCCGATCCCTATAGTAGTCCGGGAAGAATGATCGAGTGGTAGATTTACTATACTGTATATTATTCAAGCTATTAGACTAACTTAGGACATTTTTACCACACGATTCGTTTTTGCAAAATTAATTATATATACGAGTCCAACACTAGTTTGTTACTTAATATTTGCGTTTTGTCACCATATTCTTTTCATATTTTTTCATAATCGTCTGTCACTAAATTACTTGTTGTAATTGCTTTCTTACTATTTATCATTTATATATACCTAATTTTTAATTCTTGCTATATGTCTAACAGTTTTTATTTATCGTTATCACTTGTTTTTATTTATAATTTACATTTTCTATTAGATGCGTTGTAGCATTTCATGAAGCTTCTTTTATATACTGGACATTTTCCGTTGGGAGTATACAGATTTTTTTCTGATTCTCAGGAGCTATAGTTTTCGGGTCTGATCAAGAGGTGGCTGGTTTGATGAAAGCCATTCGTCGCTGTAACGCCACAGGCAGCTTCTCATGGATAGGCAGCGACGGCTGGTCAGCGAGGTCCTTAGTTTGGCAGGGCAGTGAGGCTGAAGTTGAGGGAACCCTTAGTGTGCAACCTCAGGCCAACCCTGTGTTAGGGTTTGACACATACTTCCTCAACCTGACTGTGGAGAACAACAAGAGGAACCCTTGGTTCGTAGGTATGTGATCTATATAGCAACTGTAAATAGGCTACTGATAAGAAGTCTGTAATATTTAATAGCAAAGAAACAATTCGATTAGATAATGATAAGCTAGAATGCATATTTTATAGTGTGGAGACAAGATAAAGGGTTGATGTTTAACGAATGATCAACTTTATTAATAATTGAAATCATAGGAGCCCTGTTAATGAGAACAGAGCCTGTTCTAACCATAACCATGTTAGAAACCATGGTAAATCAGTTAGACTAGATTATATTAATAGGCAAGGATGTTTATTTAAAACCGTTTTTTCTCAGCTCGTGTGCAACGAAGGGAACATCTACGTATACTGTTGGAAATATATTTTCCTGTTGATGTGCAGAATCCTTTAATAAATTAAAATAGGCTAAAAAATAAGCACAAAAAAAACTTAAAATTAAAAAAAAAAATTTGCATGGACCTTATGGGTTGCCAAGCTGGTGACAAAATCAAATGGAAGATACTCCAATCACATGGTGTATTTACAGCGTAGGGTGAAAATAGGGAAATCTGTCTGCATAACATATTTTTGGTCGAGTTTTTTACCACTGGACGATCTCTAATCAGAATAAAATGATAATAGCCAGAAATGACACTGCCACAACAGGAGGTGTAAGGTTGGAAGATTAGTGTTGAATGGATGAGGCATGGTAACAGCTTTGTGATGTCAATGGCAAAGCACTTTAAGATTTAAAGCCAAGGTGAAGAACAACACGGCCTGCGTCTAGTTTTTAAATGATAAAAACATTTCTGGCACTGTTTTAAGATTGAGCCGTGTAACTAGGTGAGCATTATTTACACTAAACTACCTATCAATGTGACTTTGGATGAGTAAAGTACAAACATGCAAACATGTTAATTATCAATAACAAAGTTAATGAACCCATATAAAGTAAATTAGATTGTAATAATACCCCTGCACAGCAAACCATATAGACTAAGTGGACTTGCATTTGCATTATTGGCTTTTCAGAACATTTTAGCGAATTTTCCTCAGAAGTAGTAGCTATACGGTTGTAGTAATGAAGTATCAGCTGTAGGTGACCTAGTAAGACCTAGGACCGGGACAGATTTACTTTTTCATGTCCATAGAGGCCAAAAGCACTTTCACCTTTGCCTTACTATTGTTTTCGAATATTATGATTTCAATTGTTGAATAGTCTACTTTTCTTTCAAGATTGTTTATTTAATGTGGAAAAAATACACATAAAAATAGGTATTTAGGTAAAAGTTAGTCTGTTATGTATTTATTTATTAAAACTCTTTTCTGGATAGCTTGACAGCCTCCAAACTCTACAACCTCTGAGTCCACAAACTGTCGAATTAGTGACGTTTTACAGTAAAATGTTCGAATTTTAAAAATATAATTCAAAAACTATATTAAGGAGAACATCATTCCTTGTATTTGAATAAAACTCGTAGACAGATTAGGTATTTAATTGTTTTTTGAATTTTTTTGTATTTATCGTTATGACATTTATAGGTTACGTTATATAATGTATTCACTGGTGGTACCTTAAAGAATATTTATAAATCAAAGCAAGTTTTCAGGTTGACAAATCATTTCAGACACCAACCGAGTAAATCATCATACGCCAAATCCTTTGCAACCACCAAGATTGTTTATATTTTTGTATTTTTAATCTCGTCAGTTATCCCAGCAGCGGCGAGCAAACAATTTCTCAGCAAGCTGCAAACGTCCACCAGCCAAAACATTTTTCTTTCAGAGCTTTTTACCAGTATTTTGGATCTAAATGTTTAAAGACTGCAAATATTTGATGTGTATAAATACATAGTTATGGAAAAGTAATGGATATTAATATTTGTTATAAAGTAGGCTAAGGGGATTTTTTATTAATAAATATGATCAAATTTCAAAATTAAAACTGTATAAATAAGTGTTTACATTCTACAACACTTTGTTCAATTTTGTTTATGATGGTTGTAATACAGATATTTTTAGCTCAGTAAAGTTATACATTCTGTGTTTTTATAAATTTATATATACGGTATATGTAAATCATATATATATCTACAACTGTACTATTAGCTGAATATTATTTTATTTGGAAACCCATAAATTAATAGTTTTACTTGAACTATCAACTATTATTTAAAGCATTTATGATTACATTAATTATTTTGACCGTATTATATATTTTTTAGCTTTATATTTCAGTTCCAAAAAGTAGACAGTTTGCTAAAATGCCAATGTTTTATTTAAAAAAGAACTTACAAAAGTACAATATTGATATAATATGTCGTGGTGTGAGATACATTTTTGTTCTCAGTCAATCGCACTAACTATCCCAAATTGAATGGGCAACCTTATATTGATCTAACCACAATACACATTCCACAATGCACATACACAATGTACATTCCGTGTCTCTTCCGGTTGGTATAGTATGAAAAACTATATGAGGAAATATGACCGTTGACTAGTGTATATCGTGAATGATATAACTAAACTCAAAAGGGGGCCAATTCAACAATGTTGTTTTTAGCAAAAAAACTGACTTAAGTTAGTTCATATACAAGTGTATATTAAACATTATACAGTAGTATCTAAATTCAATGATTTTCTGTAAAGATTTTTGTATCAGCTAACGAACTTATTCCTATACAGATGCTATTAGATTTCAGCTTTCGCCATTTTATCTCCTCGTGACAAAGCGAGGAGTTTGTCTGCCAAAATATTTGGTAGAAACGCTTCCTGACGGTCAGATAACATTGTTTGACTGTCGCCGTGTCGAGGTGAAATCTCATGTGATTCTCAGGTTTAACCTTGGTATCCATAGTGTAACCAAGTGGTAGGTAAACATTAGAGTAGAGAATACGAATACACATATTATATGCACGTATACCCGTCGTATTTTTATTTTACATATTGTGATTTGATTATCAACAAAGTTTTATCTATATCTTCTAGTTCTGTATCTAGTTCTTTGAAATTTTATTAGTTTTAGCATATTTTTCTTAAAGAAAATACGTTTTTACCGTAGGTCTCATAATGAGACTTGGACCCGAGACATATTTCCTTTTTTGTTTTAAAGTACCCAGAGACCAAAACCACCCTGTGTGTTCTTTAGTGCGATAACTCGTGAAAATTTGGTACAAACGTGTAAACCTACGTTTGTTTGAACGATTTCACAAACTAGCATGATCTAATAATGAGAATGGGGTTTATGTTTTATGAGGTAAAATTGGGGTTTCTTATTTTTGACTCTAAAACAAATTTTTAATTTCATTCTTAATCATTTTGTGGAACTTGAAATAAATAATTTAATATATTGAAGCGTTGTTGCATGTCTATGGGTTATGGGAAAAAATTAAAATTTAAATTACACATTGTTATTCTTATAAATAAACTGACATATTGATTATTTATAGTTTGGACATTTGGTTTATTTTATATGAAGCTATCAAATTTCGATGAAAAAAACACACCTCATCTCCCCTGTAGCAGCAAACCCAAGTTCTCTTTAAAATTGTTGTTATTTAAATAGGAAATAAATGTGTAAAAATAAGGACATAGTTGGTAGAAATCTAGCCAGGTAAATGGAAGCTCGCGCAGTCTGTAGGGTATTAGATGCGTATGAAGAATTATTGTTAAACTGTATTGAAACATTTTCACACTAAACAGTTTTCACCTTCACTCGTTTCGCACCACATAATATCTTCTTTAAGGCCTGAGACAATGATAAGCCTGGTGTTTAGAAACGTTGATAGCAATAGTTAATTATTGATATAGATTTTTTGTGAGCTGTTCTAGTCGGAGCAACCAAGCCGTTATTTTTTTCTCCGGGTTGCCATTGTCAAAAATCTCAGTTCAGAAAATTCATATCCGTTTTTGTCTACGAAAGGGTGTATGTTTGTATTGGAAATATCTGAAATATATCAATTTCCGTCCTTAATGTTGTGGGTTAAATCTATGTCCTATTTATTTAAAACATCATTGGAACTACAGTACTTCAAAGGAAGTAATTTATTTTCTGGACTATGTGCGGTGTTGGGCAATTATTGTATCCCGCCTGAATATAGAAACATTTTGATTATTGCGATCGGTACCATATACGATATGTACCATTCACTACAAATTTGAAATTGCAGTTATGCTGATATTTTAATGCATTTTAATACATACTAATTAATTGTAAATTAATTTTTTTTTTATAGAGTTTTGGGAGGATCACTTCCACTGCCGGTACCCCAACAGTTCGCGGACCCCTCACAACTTCAAATATACCCGCCAGTGTACCACCCAGGAGCGACTCACAAGAGGGAACACAGCCTTCGAGAACCAGCTTCAGTTTGTTAGCGATGCGGTGATGGCCTTCGCACACGCCTTCAAGGACATGCATGCGGAGGTGTGCCACGGTCGCCCAGGACTGTGCGAGGCGATGAGGCCTACCAGAGGTCCAGAACTGCTCAGGCACCTGAAGAATGTCAACTTTAAAGGTACCGTTGTTAACAATAGATTCTGTATATAGAATTTTCGTATTGTTAAATATTGCATTAGTTGGTGGTTGATTTTAGAGTAAAAGTTATTCGAAATATTTAATTATTTGGTTTTTCGTATTGTGTGAAAACCAAATCATCGTATGGCTTGAGGTCACGGAATCATATGTTTCATTAATGTTGATAAATTAGCCTAATAAAGTAAAAAATGGTGGAGACAAAAATAGTCTAATTTCCTGTAGGAGACGAAAGTTTTATTTATAAAAAACAGACTAAGTAACACAATGTCCACTATTTATTACCAATCACTTGCACTTAAATGTTAACATCACATTTTCTGTATGTAATTTAAATATTTACCTCGTAAGTACATTGCATGCTTATCGAAGAAAATCCAGCCTCTCCTTGTATTGTGCGTGTGTTAACACTAGTAACAGTTTGGCAATTCTTTATTTTGCTGCAATGCAGATATTAATTATTTTTTTCATATCGAAATCAGAAACGCTACGCAGGTAAAATTTCCGTTTTATATAATACTAGCAGAGTACGTTGTTGGAACATAAGTATAAAATGCTTATTGCAGTTATACTCAAGCTTTGGGTTTGCAATGGGGGAAGACACAGTTTGATAAAATTTGTTTAGTTAAATTTACGGTATACTATAGTATTACACATTTACCATGGCCATAATATTCCATCACTGCACCTAAAGAAGAAAATAAATAATCAATCATTCGCACAATATCACAAATTATTCATAAATAAAAAAAAACATAACTGTAAACAATCATAATTGGGACAGTTCTCATTATGTGTATTACAGCATTTTGTTTCTTCTTAGTTCAAATTACCTGTTGTCATAAATGCGAAAAAAATATTAGTGCTGCACCCTGTTGGTAAACCTTTTAACTTTTTAATGGTATTGCATTTCATAGAATAAACTTGCCTAGTTGAAACAGCTGACTAAATTCTTTAATTGCCTTTAAATATGAATACTCATAAGGTTAACATGGGGAACTACAGAGCCACTGGGGCGGAGCCTGGAAGGATTTTTCAGATAAGAATATGCCTATATGTTAATTGGGAATGTGAGCTATCATCATGCCAAATATCAGCCCAATCCGTCCAGTCAAGGCCTAGTGTGGCCTTGGTCCAGTAGTTAATGCGCGATTGAACTTTAAACAAAGAAACATATAAACAAACAAACAAACATTCACTTTTTATAATATTAGTAAGATATAAAATCACATATAATAAAGTTATCAATCCAGGAGGAAGATCGTCTTCTATCTTAGCGTTTGTTTACTTGAGTGAAAAAAGGAATTATCATGAGCTATTGAAATATTTAGTCAAGAGAATTTTACATTAATTTAGAGTAAAATAAAGGCTCAAGGGACAATTTTCTGGTGGAATTGTGAAAGTATTAAGATTGCTTTTACTATCAACCTAGAAATCACCTGTTTGGGCTTTAATTTGTACAGTAAGTCCCATTGATATTACAACAACAATAATACTGATAATTTTTGACAAAAATTTTAGTATGCCCACAAATATTTTTGCAGGACTATCAGGTGACAAGTTCAAGTTTGACCCCAATGGTGACGGACCAGCCCGGTACAACATAATTCACTTCAAACAAGTAACAGCTGGCAACTACCAGTGGGTTAGGGTCGGAGAATATGATGATGGGGAGCTGAGACTGAACATGACTGGTAAACTAACTATCAAACTAGCAATCAACTATAGATTATAGTATATTATACTCGTGCCTTGCAACGAGGTCAGTATGCAAAAGAGACAGTGTTGGCTCTTTAAAAATGGCTTAAAAATAATTGCACGCCTATTATTATTATCAATTATCAATCATTGAGATGGGGACGCCACCTAGGTGCGTATTTTAACCCAAATATGAGTGATGGATGAGTGTAGAATGGTGTGTGATGACCTGTGTAGCTTTGTTACTGACTAAGATAAGCGGTTTCATTAGTCAGGATCATCTATATATAAAGCCAAAAGTACCCATGAACTTTTGAGAAAACTACTCACATCCCCATAAACCATATACTTAAAATGTTCGTCATGACGAGAAACCTTGCGCAAAATTATCCATTATTTCATAAATTGCCCTATAAGGTCGTAATTGCTTTCCAAAGGGAACTTTCCATTTACCTAATGTTAAAAATACCTCAGCTGTTATTATTTGTTTGTATTACCATTACTGTTTTCTGTTTTGTTTATTTCATCTTAACCTAACCAATCAATAGTTTTATTAATACCAAAGATTACATATGCTAACGTAATCTTTGTTAATACTAATGTAGTAAAACGGGGTGGAGCCCGTGGGTAACAGCTAGTTTATTTAAAGCTCAATGATCAGGAACAGCTGGGTCCAGTTTCGAACCATCAAAAAGCTACTGACTTTTCTCAGGATCGAACCGGCGACCTTTTGATTACTAGGCAAGCACTTTAACCACTCAGCCTAGCATTAAGAAACGAAATTGAACTGTTTTACTTAGCTTGATAATAGTACGTTATTGTTTATTTAGACTGTGAACACTTGTTTAGGCTGGCTAGGATACAAACCCAATGATCGATTGTAAGGTATAATCAAATAACATGCTGAATGGTATGTACTGTGTGCGAAAAGAAATCATAATAGTTCCAAACATGTCAATAGTGTAATTTTCTAAAATATTTTAGTGAATTATAATCTAAAATTACAAAAATATATTTAAAAAAAATATTTACATAAAACTCAGGATAAGAGCCTAGGTTGATACAGCAATCAGTATAGAATCTTAATATTATTTCCTATACCAATGACTAATTTATTTTACAATGATAATTATATTATTACAGCATTTCACAATATCAGAGCACGCTCAGTATATATCAAATACCCCCGCCGCAGCAAACCTGCAGACTAAGCGAATTTCCATTTGACTGATTGGATTTACACTGAAATGTCTACTTGAAAATATAACATTTATTCTTGATTTAAATAGAATTAGTTTAACAAGTACTTAGGTTTGCTGCATCAGGGAGGGTAAAACTGATTTTTTTTTAAATGTGTAGATAGTTAGTTAGAAATAAAAACTTTTCCAAATTTGATCAAAATATGTTCACAAACAAGCAAACTACAACAGTTTACTTATTCTGCATAAGAATAACATGGGAATTTTAAATTTACAATTTTTTTGGAATTTTCTCCGTAACCATTAGGCGCATAATAATGCTTCAATATACTAAATTATTTGTTTTTTTAAGCTCTACAAAATGGTTTGGAAAGAAATTGCTAAATTTTATGTTTTTTGGGTCAAAAATGGGAAAAACCTATTTTTACCCCATAAAACCCCCCGTAAACCCCCGTTCCCATGGTCCGATCATGCTGGATCGCGAACTCGTTCGAATAAACGTACTTTTACACGTTTGTACCAATTTTCATTAAAATCTGATCATTTTTGCTCGAGTTATCGTGCTGACGGACACACACATATATATATATATATATATACATATATAAATACTAGCTGACCCGGCGAACTTCGTATCGCCTAAGTTATAGGTTTCCCCTAAGACAGACCGATGGAAAGAAAGTACCGTTACGTTTAATTTTCAAGATGATCTCGTTCGCATCGCTCAATCACCTCCAGGTTGGAGTTCGTTCGCTACGCTCACTCACCTTTTGGTAGCAAATTAGCTGTTGTCATAAATGTAAAAGAAATAATAGTGCTGCACCCTGTTGGTAATCCTTGTAACTTTAATGCTATTGAACATCATAGAACTAACAGAACCAACTTGTTTAATTGAAACAGCTGTTAAGATTCATTAATTCCATTTCTCATAAGGTTAACATGGGAAACTCCAGAGCCACTGGGGCGGAGCCCTTTTAAGAATTTCGAAACGGGAAATAGTTTACGTCCGATTCGCATACCTACAGAATTTACACACAAAATTTCATAACGATCGGTGAAGTCGTTCCGGAGGAGTTTGCAGACAAACACTGTGACACGAGAATTTTATATATTAGATATAAATATATAAATATATATATATATATATGAATTTGAACGGATGGTGTTTTTGGCCTCTGGGGACCTCAAAACGAAAAAAAATTGGTCCCGCGTCCAGGTCTTACCATGAGTACTACGGTAATAGCTTATTCCCTATATGGGAAATTCGCTAAAACATAAACAAATGACGTAACTGAAAGAATCCTATACTAATGACATTAACATTTTGTGTGACAGTTCTAATTAAGTAATTTAAATAATGTTTACATTTGAGCGAGTGACATCGCTCTTACTTTCTCCCCCTAGTATATGGTATAGTATATGGAGAAAGTATTGTTGTCGTCAACATTATTTTCGAGTTTGAGTTTTGAGTGTATATTTTCATTTTAGGACCCCCTGAATCCAAAAAAGTGGTTTTCGAAGTGATGTCTGTGTGTGTGTGTATGTGTACTGAGCCACAGACCACACCTGTATTCTTTTTCCTGTAGTTTTTTGAAAATTGTTTTTTAATGGGGATTTTCCTATCAAAACTCACAAAATAACGGAAAATTCAGATTTTGTCAATAATGGTTCGAATGGTTTTGATAAATATTTAGTATGTTATAGTCCTTTAAATTTTGAACGACATGCTACAAATCTCATTACCGTAAAAATTACGGTTCAAAAGTTATTGTAACTTATGGTATTTTTCAAACCCCATAAAATGCAAAATCGGATTTTTGAAATAACCCTGTTTTGATTAAAATTAATGTGCTATGGCCCTTATAATTCTAAACAAAATAATGCAACCCCCATTACTGCAAAAATTACTACAACTTTTGTGTTTTTCCTACAAAATTATCATAGTTACATCATAGTTACTCCCACCACTTACACATTAGAAAGGTTTTTGACAAGCTTATAGGAAAAAGTATGTGTCTGATTGCCGATACCGTTTATTTATGTTTATGATCCATACCCTTTCTGTTCTAATATCCGTGAAGTATTTAATATGTTTTAACCAGCTGTGTTAAAATGTCAAATCAAAATTCATTTGACAGTTTAGTTATGCTTGTTTACATTTAATCTTTGTGATAGCCTATTGTACTTTGCTACCATGGAGACCAATCACATATTTTCACATTAAAATCTCCCACATCAGAACTTTGAAAGCCCATAGGGCAGATTCCTAGGTCAATATCAAATTGGAAATAGTTTATAAATCCTCGTAGCAGTAGCTTAATTTTCGTCCAATTTGAGCCCAGTCGGTTCAGTAGTTTTTGAGTTTAGTTTATACAAACATGCACACATAGATACCCCCTTTTCTTTATATAGTAATAAAAAAAATATATAAAAAAACAATTGTAGAGCTATGATAGCTTTGTTTATTGCCTTAGCTCCACATGTTCCTTAGCCAGACCAAACACATTTAATTTAAATGCCTAATGATGACGGATGACTGAATCCAGTTTTGAACAACTAGAGCTTATGAACCATCAACAAGCTACTGGCCTTTCTCGAGATGGAACTGGGACCTTGCAGTTTCATGATTGGAAAGGTGACTCTTTGACACTACAACCTTTGGGGAAATTAAGACTACAATCCTCTTAGATGTAAACCGCTTAAAGTCAATAAGGGGGTGATTTAAAACATGTTTTAAAAGTTGTTTGCAAAACCCGTGTTTTTGGCTTTTCACATGTCATGGCTTTTAATATTTCCTTAGGGAACGGTCTCTAGTAGTTATCTAACGACAACTTGTGTGTAGATAGCATCACAAATTTGTGGACTAATGACGATAGTTTTCACGACGTTGATCTGGAAACCTCCTCATTTAGAGGCAACACTTAAATAATCCAGTTTGAATACGGTTAAGATCTAGCCATAGCAACATTTTCAGCATTTAGTTATCCTTTCATATTGAATTGTTTTCATTTGTTTATTGTTGTTCGGTTTTTCGTATTTTGGTGTATTGTCTTTGAATTTTTTTTTGAAGTTGACAAGTTTCATTTTTGAATAAAATTTTACCAAAGGAAAAAGATATGAAAGTTCTATCATTTTAATATTCAAATTGCAATCGTGTCAATTGAAGTAGGCCTATGTAGACTAAAACCAATCTACTCACAGTAATTATTTAATAAAAAAGGCATTGATAGTTATCATTAAATTCGTCATTGGTATAGGACTTTATGAATGAAGTAATATCAAATTTTATTAACGTAAGTCCTTAATCAATAGTCATCATTCAGCAATCATTCATAGCTCTTTTAGATGATAAACCATATTATGGATGTACGTTGCACCAAGATTCAGGCTACTGGAAATAAGCAACGCACATTTTCAAACCTCTTTGATCCTGTTGAATAGGGTGAGATTAGAACTGCATTTGAAAGGGCCCCTATATGTCTTTGATCACTGTCCTGCCTCAATGAAACTGAACGGGAAACTTCGACATCATATCAAGCACAACAACTTTCAGAAGTCTTACCTACGATACCACGAATTGTATCTTGGGAAAAGATTAATTGAAAACAACTCCAAAATTTTATCGAGGGTAACTTTTGTATTTAGCATGTTCATGTTAACTAGGATACAAACTTTGTGTTGATTTTTTTCTGTTGTCACATAAACAATACTGAGATCAACTAACATGAGTCACACACAACTTCGTATTACCGTTAATACCAACCAGCTGGATTAATGATTGATGCAAGTTGCTGCCTTCAAGAAAAATGTCATCATTCATATTGTGTTTTTTTTTTTTTTATAATGATGCTCACACAACACTGTAAAACACTGTTGTTTTGTGTGTAGATTATAGTTTAATGGCACATATAAATGAGCGATTATTTATTGCAGTTTCCATTTAAATTTGAAATTTTGAGGAAACTCGTAAGCAGGTTTCACTGATCGTCAATTAATGTGTTTTCCAGGTATTCAGTTTAAACTGTCACATCCTCAGCCTCCTGAAAGTGTATGCAGCCCGGCCTGTGAACTCGGACAAGCCAAGAAATACGTGGAGGGAGAGTCTTGCTGTTGGCACTGCTTTAACTGTTCGCAGTATCAGGTAAAGGCCTAACTGTCAATTAGAGTTTTTGGTGAAGCATTTTCTTAAATTTCGGGGGATTAATGAGGATGATAACCAATTTTGGCATCACAATGAGGGACGGGTGGTACTACAACAGTAACGGGACACGACTGGACACGGCGTGATCGGGCGGGGGTTATGTCTAGACTCCCGGCTAATGTCCCGTCACCGTTGTAGTATTACCCTTCGTTTTTAACCCTAAATGTTCGTTTTTATGTTCGTGTGCGTGTGCGTGTTAAATTTATTTATTTATTATGAATTGACGACCTTCAAATAAAGCAAGAATACATATGTACTGGCCCAACGATGACTCCTTTGTGAGTCGAAACCTATTGCAATTTAGCAAAGGTATTTACACCAAATATTTAGCGAAAAATAACGTTCAAAACACTAGTGAAAGAGGGTCTATATATTCTCGACCATTTAAAGTGCTAAATAAGCACTTCAAGCATGGTCTCAAATATCTAATGACTCACTATCTACTCTTATTATGAAATATACTATTTTTAATGCAAACATCGGCCAGCTGATGATTACACTTTTCTAAGAGTCTCTTCCTAGCCTCCACAATTCACATGTTAACTATTTTTATGGTTTGCTGTGTAATAATTCATATAAAATCATTTGATAAGTGCTTTCGAACTACTGGGTAATAAACATTATGACAAGCTTCAGCTTTTGTATAGTATGTTTAATAGCAGCATCAAAAGTCAGTGCTAAATATAAGTCTCTTTTTGATCTTGCTACCTGATTAGCTTAAGTACTCCATGAAAAAATAAGGAACATCTTAAATTGTGCTGACAGATAAGACACCCAATGGATGAGACGCAGTGTGTCAACTGCCCAGAAGGAACAGTTCCGGACATCACCAAACAGGCTTGTCTTAACATCCCAGAGGTTTTCCTCAGAGCAGAGAGCGCCTGGGCCATCGGTATGTAAGATACTTTCTCGACATAGAGCATAAATCCAAAATAAAACTCTATGATCATTCAGATAATGTCTTTAGCATTATAAAGAACAGGTGGTATATGTGTAAGTCTGTGGCTGTTTGTTCCGGTTGAAAAGAAAATTACCCAACCAGAAATTTTACACAAAGGTAAACAATAAATTTAGCAAACGTGAAGGTCCATTTGTGTCAAATACGTAAGTAAAAAAATGACATTTTAGACATTGTTACTCTTTTTACGTCTGGCTCCTAAATGGTTTCAACTGTGTAACCACAGGAACCACAGGAACTGTGTTATTATGAAGTAACAAATAGCCCACATATCGATGTCCCATATTGATCCACATATTGATGTTCGATGATGTGTGGAAACGTATCGACGTTTCCACAGACTCATCGATGCATTGCTCTCAATAAATTCAATATGTTGCAGTTGTTTTGATTTACAACATACTGTCCAGTGGTCAATGGTCTAAACCATTGATTTTTCAAAAGGTTTCAACTTCAGATGATATAAATCGTCCGCTTAGACAAACTTCTGCATGGTAGTGTTTCCAAGATTCAGGAGTTAACGAATAAGCTTTATTGGATTTTTATCATTTTTAGTGACGGAGAGTTTACTTTATCCACATGATATTCTCCATGACGATTGGTGAGATAACACAGTTTTATTTTTTTATTAATTTTTTTTATTATTATTTAATTTGTTAAATACGGTTTCTTGTATTCCTTAGCCTGTTTCTCTTGTCAAATTCAAAGTAAACATTATGCAAGCCAGCTGGCAATAGATTTCAACAACAAACTAAAATCGATATCCATTCCTATGTACGTTCAATCATAATTCACAATTAAAGAGTAATTTTGAGACAATTGTATACTAATGATGTATTTTAAACTGTGGCTTTTACCCTAATTACTATTTTATCACTATAAAGAGATCTTAATCCCCCAACAGATGCAATAATATCAGTTGACTTTACTACAGTCCCGCCTTCGCATTGCAGAGCTAGGCTATATGCCAGAACAGTTTTACAACTTAATTCAGGATAGCATTCGTGATGCGGCATCACTTACATTGGTTATTGGTGGGAATCGAACTCGGGATCTCAGGGCCTAAATCTAGGGCTCTAAACCCACTTGCTGCAGAATGACTAAAAACACTTTGGCATTAAAATGCAAATGAAACATCTGTGTTCATTATTATTACAAAACAGTTAACAGCTGTGTTTGTTTTTGTTGCAGGAGCAATGTCATTCTCTACAACTGGTATTCTGGTTACCCTCTTTGTCGCTGGAGTGTTCATACGTCACAACGACACGCCGGTAGTAAAAGCTGCTGGTAGGGAACTCAGCTATGTACTACTCACTGGCATACTACTCTGCTACCTGGTCACCTTTGCATTGGTACTGCGACCTACCAACACAGTTTGCGGCGTACAAAGGTAAATACCACATTCACACCATAGAGCGTAGAGCCCAGAAATGTTTTTACATTCCTGCATAGTAGTCCTAGAGGGGTGTGCCACTATCAATTAGATCAAATACATTTTTTATTGGTGGGTTTTGAACCGGGTGGCTTCAGGGACCCAAGTTCTACTCTCTACCACTAGACCAGATTACTCCCAACAGTTAATTTGAGGTAAGTGCGGTATGGAATGTAAAAAGTACTTGTTTTAACTCCCGGGCGGAATCAGTTTTTATAGAATTAAAGAGAAGTAATAGACTGTAGGCTGCCACGATCCTGGATTGACTGTGGAATCTTGGTGTTTGGGAGAAGAATAGGTTGTTGAATCTTGGTGATTGGGGGAAGAATAGGTTGTTGAATCTTGGCATTTGGGAGAAGAATAGGTTGTTGAATCTTGGCATTTGGGAGAAGAATAGGTTGTTGAATCTTGGTGTTTATGGGAAGAATAGGTTGTTGAATCTTGGTGATTGGGAGAAGAATAGGTTATTGAATCTTGGTGTTTAGGGAAAGAATAGGTCGTTGAATCTTGGTGTTTGAGAGAAGAATAGGTTGTTGAATCTTGGTGTTTGGCAGAAGAATAGGTCGTTGAATCTTGGTGTTTGGCAGAAGAATAGGTTGTTGAATCTTGGTGTTTGGCAGAAGAATAGGTCATTGGTCTAAGGAAAACACTGGCTTCCATTTCTAATCCGTAAAGGAATCCCTCTCCCGCTTTACCTAATACTCAAACTAGAGGGAGATTTTAGTGGATGGAAACGCTACACATTCAGTTTGGTACTATTTCCGTACGAAAAAAATTTAAATAATAAAAAATTTTACAATTGATAGTCAATACTCAATATGTTAAAGTTAACGATGAATCATAGATATAGAATGGTTAGGTAAACGCATGCTGGCCCTCTTGAAGTGTTAGTTTTTCATTCAGGATCATTGATCAAACCAATCAAGGGCAACTGGTCCCAGTTTTGAAACTCCAAACTTAGATTGTGATCGATCTTGCAACTTTCCAATTACTTGGCAAGCACTCTAATTCTTACCCACCATCATAATTCGACTTTTTATTCTTCCTTCAAGTTTAGTAACTACAGCTAAACCTGTCCTGTTACTATTTCTCATCAAATATCATATTGCTCAAGTTTTATCTGTTAACAGTAGAAGAAATAAATAAACGGTATTCTTTTAGCATGATTAAACGAGTTACTTTTTGTCAAGCAGACATTTAAATGTATATTTAGAATGCTGGCCTCTAACTTCAATGTTGGGTAAAATTAGTTCTTTTGATTGAAATTGAAACCGAAGAAATTGAGAATGCCTTGGCTATGTAGGATTTTTTATAGCATAATATAAACGTAGACATTTGAACTTTAAGGTAACGGCCGTGTTTATGAACTATTTGTCGTTTTATTAATTAATTGTCGAAAAGGTTTGCTCTTTTTATGAACACTAGTGCTTGAATAGTGCTACTAACATTTAGCAGCCGCCTTTGAAACGGTACAATTAATTGGCTTAGACTTTCATAGTCATTAAATGGCTAATTAATGACTATGTTGAAATGGTGGTTAAAATGACTATGTGGCTTACCAGTCCAAACACACTACCACCAGGGTACCATGATGGATGTGTGGTTTTGCGGCATTATCACTTAGATCAAATCAAAGTCAGTAATGGGTTTTATCTAAGTGATAATGGCGCAACCCCTAGGTCTAGCTTTAAGTAATGTGAAAAACAATCCCAAGCTCGTGCCTAGCGTCCTAGGGGAAAAAAACAGCCCAAATAGCCACCAGGGTACCATGATCGATGTGTGAACCACACAAGCGCAAACACACTACCACCAAGCTACCGTAATAGATGTGTGGCTTAACAGCATAAATACACTTCCAATAAGCTACTGTAATAGATGTGTGGCTTAGCAGCCCAAACACACTTCCACCAAGCTACCGTAATAGAGTGACTTACCAGGCTAAACGCACTACTGTAACACCAAGCTACCGTAAGAGATGTGTGGTTCACCAGTCCTAACACACTACCGCCAAGTTACCGTAAATGATCCATTTGGTTTTCCAGCCCAAGAACACTTCTACGAAGCTAAAACAAATGTACTTTATTTTTCTTACGGTTTTAGTACAAATAAATATGGAAGCTGTAACAAGAATTTGAAAATCTATGTTGTATTGAGATTAAATGTTAGATTTTGTTTTGTTAAAGAGATTTTGTAACGGTAACCAGAAAGGTTTATCTCTTTGTAAAACTTTAGTCTTTTTAGGATTAGTCTTTTTTGTTGATTAAGTAAATTATATTGGCTAAAGTTTTAATCTTCCCTAACACGATCCAATCACTATTCTAAAAAAAAGTTTTCATACCAACTATTCATATTTACATAATAATTATAATTTCGTACATTGAATTGTTTATAAAACATATAATGATTTGCAAAATACATTAAGAGAGACGAAAATATATATTTTAACCATCATGTAGAAAATCGAAAATAATGCATCAAAGAAATAATAAATTGTTATTATATCGTCTGTTTAATGAAGTTAATACACTACACCCTCGATGAATCAAACTTTATTGTGAATATAATATAATATAATTATACCCAAAGTTATAATTTTTTTTTATGAACTAATGTCTGTTTACCTTAATTTTATATTGTAGCTCTAATAAATAAGTTCCACTTCTTGTAAAAAGAAATATATTTGTGATATAACATTTGTGATAATTTATATTCAAAAGTTATTAATTTGTCTTGTGCAAACGTTATTCTGTCGCCACCACACATACATAACATTATACCATCACACACAGTGACACAGTCCCTGAATTACTTCCATCCTTTGTTATCTTTTTACAAAATATACACCAAATATTCTTTTTAGATTTTTCAACCATATTAAAAGTATTTACTTAAAAATGTTAAATTGTTTAATTTTTTGTTAAAAAAAAAACTTTGTTTATCTGCTGATATTTACAGTAATAACAATATGATCATTTCAATATCACTACTAAACACACCATGACCTTCTTAGGAATGTAACTTGCGAACATTTCTCGTTGTATAGAATTGACATGAAATTGTTTTTATAAATATGTTGGCACATACAGAAAGATGCATCTCCTCTTCAAATCTCTCTTACCTCCATAAGTTAAGCGTTGGAACAATAAGCCTGTTTTCACCATGGAGTAAAACTGCATAAATTGGGTTTAGATTGGGTGGTTCAGATAGATTCTCACAATAGAGAAGCACTGTAAATATGGCATGTAGCAAGATTCCTGTTATTTCAAGTGCTCGATTCAGGGCAATAGGTAATCTCGTTTGAAGTGTAAGGATTTAGATATTGGATTGAAATGATAGTATAAACGTGAACTGTTTATCATTTTGGACTGTTGTAATGTGACCATAATGAATGAGTTACCGTATTAATAGAAAAAATACCATACCGGTAGCTGACGTTTTAAAATTAGATAGATTAGGGTCGGTTTAGCATTTCAACTCGTGTTTTTGTGCGTTGTACTTTAAAAATCCCTAGTTGGCACCTTTATAATTAATTGAAATGTTTTCAAAGGAACAAATTACTGTACTTTTATTCTTTGCTTATAAACATAATTTAAGAAGAAAGGTTAAAACTTTAAAAATTTAAAACTGCTTGATTGAGTCCAATGAGTGGAAAGTTGTACTGATGTAACAGCTCAGAATATCAAACACTTGACTAGAAAAACTGAAATGTGTTTATAATTTAAAACTCTCTTTAGAAAATCTTGTTTGGTAGAATGTTGTCATGAACTTAAAATGCAAAGAAAAATATGAACCGGCCTTGAAAAGATATCAACATTGTCTGTTAAACAACTCGTACTATAGGTTGGAATCAATCAATATCAACCAATTGAGTGACAACACCGAGAAGGTCGGTCATTGTACTGTTGTGATATTACGATAACCCCAATATACTAAAAGGTTTCACTGGAAGAATCTAAGAGCGCCTTTGTATCCAATTCTCTTGATTAATCAATAGACCGTATTGTTGATGTCTCGATTGTGTTGCTCACAAAGGATAGGAAATTGCTCCTTCCCTTATCATAAACATGACGAGCTCGAAAGGGATTGGCAGTTAGAGGTTTTCTTTCATCCTTTTATCTAATGGTAAAAGTAGTATTTGATATAACTTTAGTCATTCAGTTTAATACAGAGAACGCTGCTCTAAAGTCTCTAAGCCATTTTACTTTACATTTATAAATCGTCATATCTTTAGTAAACTTGATTTAATATTCAATTGTCTTTAATAACTTATAAAGTTAGGTTATTATAGCCTAAATTATGTATTGTCCATAAAAATAAAAGTCTAGTTTAGTTTACAGAAAATAGCTTGTAAGAAATTTTTTATCCTTTGTTGTAGCTTAGCCTAGTTTGAGTTTTTTTAGACTCTTTAGTGTAGATAAAAAAGAAGTATCTAGCTCATCGTACCAGTTTTATTTTATTTCTACAAACAAAACTGCAATAATTCAAATTGGTAGAAAAAGTAACGACTACTTAAATGTAAACATTAATTGTATTCTGATGTTTACGGTAAGTAAACAACCAACAACAGTTTAAAATGTTTTAACATTGTTGAGTGAAAATAAATAGTAATTCAAAATTTATAATTGACTTGCTTGGTAGTGTAGCTAAAATAGGATGCTGTCTCATACTAATGCTATTCTATATTTACGACGTCTCTCTCAACTTGTATGTCTACATGTCAGTTTTAAAGTAAATTTACATTCATTTATTTCTGTTTTTTCTTACACTATCACAAGATGAGTGGACCAACAAATCAAAATTTTGGAAAAAACTAAGTGGTACATATTTTAGAATGATATTGATTTTAGCTAGTACAGTGATTGTAATCAAAGACAAAAACACGCCAGCTCCTTTTCGAACTATGTACCATTAAAGAAATCCGTGTATATATATATTTTTTTTAATAAATACTTTTTGAAGAGCACAAGTTAAAATATTTTTTTTTTATCCAGATTAATTTCTGGGTATCAGGTTTTGCTCTTAGTGATACAGTGTGTGCATACGAATGTCGTCTTTTCAGGTTTGGCGCAGGATTCTGCTTTACAGTTGTGTACGCAGCTCTGCTCACCAAGACCAACAGAATCTCACGTATATTCAACGCAGGAAAGCGGACTGCTAAGAGACCTTCATTCATCACTCCCAAGTCTCAGATCATCATCTGCTCTGGCCTATGCAGCGTACAGGTAGTTTAATCAATTCAAAACTCTACAAACAATGGCGATAATTAACGCTAATAATAATTATGAAGGTCTCCCTTCACAATTAATTAGAAACATGTAACATGTAACCCATTAGATGGACCTACAGCTAAAAAGGTGGGCTATGACCAAGGTATTGTCAGATAGTTGTGACGTGCTGTTTGAGATTGGTGGCAATTGTCAACGAGCTTCCAAGATATTAATCAAACTAAATAGACTAGCTTTGCATCAGACTAGGTACCAAAACACTTTAACTCCTGATCTATACTGAATTTTAGAATATTATAATGAATATGTCCAACCTTTTTCAGGTTATCATCAACGTGGTCTGGTTCTTTCTGTCACCTCCTCGTGCCATCCACCACTATCCCACGAGAGAAGACAACCTTTTGATCTGTTCCTCGTACGTGGACGCCTCCCACATGATAGCTTTCGGGTATCCAATCGTGTTGATCGTCGTTTGCACCGTGTACGCTGTCAAGACGAGAAACATCCCAGAGGCATTCAACGAGAGCAAGCACATCGGTACGTGAAAACCAAGATAAATAGAATAGTATCTATGAAAGCTTTTTACAATTTTGCTCTCCTCTTTAAGGCTTATGCTACCTCTGTTATTGTTTCATTGGCTTATCTTTTATATTGACCAACCTCTAGGTGAAGAAGGACAACAGTTTGATAAGTGTTACCCTGGCAATACTTTGGACAATATAATACACAACACAATAAAATGTATTTTAGTATCATAAATGCTGATTATAAAACAATCTTCACAGTTCAGCAGTATAAAATAGATATTTTTGCAAAGTTATAGATTCTTGGACTAATAACATGCATGTTTTGAGATTATGGTGGACAAGTGAATTTACCTTCTTCTGTAAGCGAAGCTTGGTAGTCCAAAATTTATTGGAAATGTAATTGGAAGACGACTGAAGTCTTGACCAAGCTCAACATGAATTAGGATAGTGTTATAATTGGGACTAAATAGGGTTTGTAGAAAGATACTGCACATACTCGTTAAACACTCGCAGAATGCGATGCAGTTGGTCCCGAAAACTGGAAATTACTTTGGTAGCCAAAATGAAGAATTGGAAATATGCCTACACCCATCAACTCGCCAATTGTGCTGAGAGATCCTCTGTCTCAAAGTGCATTTCTGTAGCCAACCGTGCCAACAGCGTCAATATAAGTATATTGACTCAAATGATGTAATAAAAGTATTGAACATTTCAGGGTTCACTATGTACACAACATGTGTGATTTGGTTGGCGTTTGTTCCCCTGTACTTCGGCACAGGCAACCACATGCCGCTGAGGATCACCTCAATGTCTGTCACCATCAGCCTGTCTGCCAGCGTAACGATAGCCTGCCTCTTCTCTCCAAAGGTACACATGACCATGTTTATACAGTCCGAAATCTACTTATACTTACTCAAACCCACTTTTCCCAGAATGCACCTAAGTCAGCTTGGTATAAAGCTTTAAAATTTTAAACACAGTTTCCTAGGTCCTTGAAGGAGTATCTAAGAAGACTTCAAATATTTAGCTTATAAGTGCAGTTTTTACTCATACTTCTCTTAGGTCAGCAGAGCTCCTATATTTGTAATACAAGGCATTCTCACCCTTACACAATATGCTGCATAAAGTAGAGATAATGGAAAATCTCAGACAATTTGCAGAAATTCTAGACCTGAAGTTTGCAGCCTGGATTACAGAAAGTTGTTTAACCGTATTCACATGGAACTCCTCTCATGTCTATCGGATTAGGACGATGCGCTCTTAAAACCTATAGGTTGCCAACTGCACTACTCCTAAACAATATATTTATTATTTTTCTTCTATATCTAAAATCACTTTGTAGGTTGTTTACACTCCTTTAAGTACTGTTACAAATTATGTTGTGTCTACTATTTTACTCATGTGGTTTCAGCTGTACATAATCTTGGTGAGGCCGGAGCGTAACGTACGTCAGAGTATGATGGCGGGGGCGTCGTCTAGATACTCTGCCACCCTTAAGTCTGGCACTAGTGGCAGCGTGATGGTAGCAGCGGTTTCTACAACGCATAGGCTATCTCAGCCCTTCATAGCTGCCACGGGGCCCTTAGGTGAGTAATTGGAAGACTTACCAAAGTTTTTAAATGTAGCCACCAGTGTCCATATTAAAATTTAGCTACCGACCTTTAGAACTTAGAATACATACGGTTATTACAGTACTCCCCCAGGTCCAAAGTTGACCTACTAGCTGCAAGCCCCAATAAGAAAATGAGTTATAAAAGTTTAATTCTGTACATACTGGATCTTTAGGGTGAGTATCTGGGAAGAGACGTAAATAACACAAATATATATGAATTACAGTACGTTTACATGAATAACTGACGGTACTTTAACTTTATAAGATAAAACTTAACATAGGTAACTTCTTACATAAACTTTGTGTGACTTACTACGTATTCAATAGCTATGCACAACTTTTACGTTATAAAAAAGATGCTTTAACTTTTTCAAATTCCATTGAGGGCACAATGTTGAAACCATGACAATTAGGCAAGTATTGTAGAATACACGTAGAAAGTCGACAATCCATTTCATAGCGAGGGAAGGTAGCTTTGCTTTAGTAACTAACCCATACTGGTCTAACTACTAGGATAAAAAGATGGTGTCCTAAATGGGGTATTTTCTTTTCATGTACCAATCAATAATATTTCCGTATCTGATTATTACTGCTAATCACTGTATTGTACTTTGAGTAAAAAATGTAAATTGCTCGTTTAATTTCCTCAAAAATAAGTGTTTTTTTTTATATATTATACATAGGCTACGCAAATCTACTTGTCCACATTTTAAAATTTAATTTCACTCTATTATTTTTATGTAGCCACTTATAAGGTTTACAATATCCAAGCTAAATATTTTTGTTTTATAATTGTCATTTTACATATAAAAATATTTGTGTTTGTTCACAGGAGGATCGAGGTGTATAGACATCGAGATGTGCTCAGATTTTGTAAATAAGAAACCAATGTTGGTTAGCAGATCGACTCAAACACTATCTCCTGTAGCTAGCAACAACAATTTGGTCAGCAATGTGATAGGCAATGGACCTTTGGATGGAGTATCATTGTAGCATCAAAAAACTCCTCTAGAGGATTGTGTTGAATTATAACTCAGACTCAGCTGATATAGACGACTATCAAAGCTGGAACAATGATGTAGATTGTTTATGATTTATGAAAATAGTTAGAGTTTGGCAGTAGTCTTGCCTCCGAATCGAACTAAAACATCATAAGTTACATCCTTATGTTAAAGCTGATGTTATTTTTTTATAAACGAAGTTTTATTGAGCTAGTAACAGCGCTGCTGTAAATTACTTATTTCTTCCGTACACACCAATGTTTCAACGAAGCTAAACCAAAAAGATAACACTAATAAACTTTATCATGTTTTATGTAATTTAATTATCCTGGTACAAAAATGAGAACACTGGACTTAAACAGTACTCTTTAACTCTGTAAATGACTTAGCTACATATACTTCAGCATCCAAAAGTCAGTTGCTCCAACAACAGGTACAATCATAACAGAGAATATTTGTGTGAAATGATCAACGCTTTATTATAGCGACAATTTGTAGCGATGTACTATTCACTTAAAAGTGCCAAATCAGTAATTTGAGTAACCTTACTGATACGTACAGACAGACAGTATTGTATTTTTGTATTTATTATATTTAAGTCCAAAGTTGTAAATAAATGTAAAATATGTAACCTGACCCGGAAATGAGAATAAGAATGTTTTACCTTACTTCCGGGGAGTCATTACCCAGACATCCGGTGGCAATGAGCCCTGCTCCCGGATGTCCAGAGACGCTTTTCCGGAGCTTTCCCACATGCTGTTTCGAATGTACAAAAATATACGTAATTCGTAAAATGTTACTGTGATTATGTATTTTTGGTACATAGTTGAGGTTAAATTTTAAAAAATTTTTGTTTTCAAAACTGATTTCATTGCAGGAATATGACGTTCTATATCTCCTATATATTTATTGAAATTGATTACAGAATGTATTGTATTCTATTCATACGATGTTACTCCTGACGATATTACCTATGTATATTGGACATAAACTTATATGTTTTTGGAAATGTGTGTAAATTTTCTTGTTTATCATTAACTTCTATCTTTTTTCATTAGTAATAATACAATTTTATTTTTTATTTTTAGCTACTGTCGAATCTGTGACTGAAAACAACACATAGAATAAAGAATTGAAAGTATAAATAATAGGACAACGCTAGTGTAAATATTCATAGGCCAAATGGCAAAAACGCGTAGGTTAATAACTTGCGTCTCGCGTTTAAAAGTGTTTCCAACCAATCTCAGCTACGGTAATCATTGCAAAACTATTTGATCCAGGTGTGAAAATAAATTATAGTAAATAAAAACATTGTTTTACTTAATAAGGACACTTCACTTTATTATCTGTCAATTTTTGCCACTGATTTCCATTGAGCTTTTGGAAATGTACATTGATAAATGGCCGGAAAAAATATTACTACAGTGTCAGTCTTTATGATGTAGCAATTATTACAAAATACATTAGTTTTTTTATCATTGTAAACGCGTTCTTAGGAAACACTTTGATAAAATGATACATCCACGTTTGTTAAATTTTTAAGAGTTCTAGAGGCAAGAAATCGACATTCAGCTGTTGTAAGCCCCCAGTTTATGAAAACAATCTAATACAATATAACTTACGTTATAGTATATAGTAAAGTAATCAATAAAAGGTTACATTACCTGCAGACTGCCTTGTGGGTTTTGTTAATCCAGTAGGATTACGTACGTTTCGGCAAATATATTGCCATCATCAGATCCCAGAACTTGAAGGTTAAAATCTTGATTTTTCGACACACATGGTCACGTCAAAGTTTAAAATAGAACACATACACAAAACGAACATTAAATACATGTAGGCCTACTATTAAAAAACCGAACAGGATGTAATATGATGCACGCATCTCTCTTGCCGAGTCTCGACTGGTAGTCGTCAGGTCCTGTGAACTGGACTCTGACCCCAAGGCATCCTGTATCATAAGTGTCGGTCTCTGTCCAGTTGTATTAAAGTTTCAAATAATAAATTTGATTGAAGTGTACTTTTATCATTGAGTAGGTCCTGAGGGCGGGTTTTTGTGGCCTTGTAAATTTCGTAATTTTCCAGAGTTGTCATAGTTGTTCCTTTACAGCAGATATGTAACGCTTTTAAATTGTTACCTAAATCAGTGTAATTATGATTTTCGTTCACAAGATGTTCTGCGAAATTTGACTTTTGTGACTTAGTAGCTCTGGGAAGATGTTCTTTAAACCTTTTTCCAAAGGATCGCCCTGTTTGACCTATGTAAATTTTATCGCAGTCATTACATGAAACTTGATAAATTCCGGTTTTCTCTTGTAATTCCTTAACATTTTTTCTAGTGTTTAACATTTTCCCTAATTTATTGCTTGTCCTAAATGCTAATACTTTGCCATGTTTTTTTATTTCATGTTTGAGAGACATAGGAAATGAGCTGCCGTATTCGACTGGGACATAATCGGAATTTTTCCTGTTAGCAATGTTTGTTTTTGACATATTATTAAGTTGTTTTTTTATTAAATTGTCGATAATGGCAGGGCTGTACCCATTGGCTATTGCGATGTGTTTTAGTATGTTTTTCTCTTCCTGATAAGCTTCTGGTTTTAACGGCACTTTTAACAAGCGATTCACGAAGCTATTGTAAGCTGCCATTTTGTGTGATAAGGGATGATGAGACGTTGCATGAATCGTTGTATCTGTAGTCGTGGGCTTTCTATAAATTTTAAACAAGAACTTGCCATTATCTTTTCTCAGGGTGATGTCGAGAAAATTTAGTTCATTATTTGTTTCTAATTCTGTGGTAAACTTTAATTTAGGATGAGAGTTGTTTGTGTAGTTATTGAATAGAGCCAACTGTCTTTGGCTTCCATGATATAAAAGGATTATGTCGTCGACATATCTGTAGAAGAACACAACATTTCCTTTGTGTTTGTTTTTATCAGACCATATGTGTTTGTTTTCAAAGTCATTTAGGAATATTTCTGCTAGTATACTCGATAATGGCGAACCCATCGCCAATCCTTCACGTTGAATGTAATATTCATTATTAAAACAAAAGTAATTTTGTCTTAAGATCAGCTTACAATAGCTTCGTGAATCGCTTGTTAAAAGTGCCGTTAAAACCAGAAGCTTATCAGGAAGAGAAAAACATACTAAAACACATCGCAATAGCCAATGGGTACAGCCCTGCCATTATCGACAATTTAATAAAAAAACAACTTAATAATATGTCAAAAACAAACATTGCTAACAGGAAAAATTCCGATTATGTCCCAGTCGAATACGGCAGCTCATTTCCTATGTCTCTCAAACATGAAATAAAAAAACATGGCAAAGTATTAGCATTTAGGACAAGCAATAAATTAGGGAAAATGTTAAACACTAGAAAAAATGTTAAGGAATTACAAGAGAAAACCGGAATTTATCAAGTTTCATGTAATGACTGCGATAAAATTTACATAGGTCAAACAGGGCGATCCTTTGGAAAAAGGTTTAAAGAACATCTTCCCAGAGCTACTAAGTCACAAAAGTCAAATTTCGCAGAACATCTTGTGAACGAAAATCATAATTACACTGATTTAGGTAACAATTTAAAAGCGTTACATATCTGCTGTAAAGGAACAACTATGACAACTCTGGAAAATTACGAAATTTACAAGGCCACAAAAACCCGCCCTCAGGACCTACTCAATGATAAAAGTACACTTCAATCAAATTTATTATTTGAAACTTTAATACAACTGGACAGAGACCGACACTTATGATACAGGATGCCTTGGGGTCAGAGTCCAGTTCACAGGACCTGACGACTACCAGTCGAGACTCGGCAAGAGAGATGCGTGCATCATATTACATCCTGTTCGGTTTTTTAATAGTAGGCCTACATGTATTTAATGTTCGTTTTGTGTATGTGTTCTATTTTAAACTTTGACGTGACCATGTGTGTCGAAAAATCAAGATTTTAACCTTCAAGTTCTGGGATCTGATGATGGCAATATATTTGCCGAAACGTACGTAATCCTACTGGATTAACAAAACCCACAAGGCAGTCTGCAGGTAATGTAACCTTTTATTGATTAGCTAACGTGGTTTAGAAAAACAACTACATTATGATAGTAAAGTAATTTTTTGGAAGCTCAAAAATATAACTCGAAATAAAAATGAAATTGGGGCACGCAATGACTCAGTGTTTCATTAATTATTGTCCAAAATCAAACTCGAAACATTTTTTTTTCAGAAAATTAAACTTCAATTAGACAGTTTAGCTTCAGATGTACGCAGCCACAAACCTCTTTTATATTCTGCTACGCATCGCATGCCGGTGCGACCTGAGGCTGTAAGGGCATTGAGTTAAATGGGAGCTTTTATACTATGCGTCGGGTGCCGCAAGCCACTCAAACCTACGAGCCGCAGAAACATACGGCGCAAGGTGAATTGCGTAATATGGGGGATTTATACTCTGCGACAAGCCGCAGTGGTGCTGGCAAGTGCTTCCAACATGACCAAAACTCTCCCCAAAGAACACTTGCATTATTTGGCTAATTCAGTTTTCAAAGCATAATAATGATGTAAGCTTTGACAAATTATAAAAAATTACCATATAATATTATATAAACTCTAGCTATTTTACTATTCACGATAGTAGGCTACTATTTAGTACGGCATGCCTACTATTATTATAAACGAGATCATAAATTTATTGAGTTTAACAAGTGGCGTTTCAGCGGATTCCTCCACCAGGGAAGTATTAGTATACAGTAATATCATTCATAGAATTATATTATCCCATATATAACCACGATCACTACAAATTTCTTTAAAGGTAAATAGAAATTCCAGTTGGTAGTCCTGACACCTCCATCACAGCACTGCCGCCGCACGAACTTGTGGCCTCCGTCGACAGTCGCAGTGACGTGCGGCTTGCCGCAGAGTGTACAATAGGGTACGAATGAAGATATTATATCAACGGTTAACAGGTAAACTATGTTCATTGTTTATCAATCATAGTTTAAAAATAGTTTTTCCATACCTAACAAGCTAATTTACAAAGGTTAGTTTTTACACAGGTTATGTAAAAGAATTGTGGTGCAATATACAACTCGTTACATTTCAATTCAGGCAAGCTCTCGTAAAACCCTGAGTTTCCTTTATCCAAATTGGTCCGGTAAAATATATTAAAAATAAAAATAAATATAAAAGATATACAATTACCTTCAATATTGATATAGGTATAGTTTAATAAAGCGATTTTTGGCAGAATTTAAGTTTTTTTAAGGGCATACCAAAAGACGTTGTGCAAAAGTATTATACTAAATGTAATCAATACATAATATTATCTGTGATGGTTTACTTGTTGATATTTACAGCAACTGTTTGTATATAAAGTTGTTTGCCTATTGAACTGAAAAAGTACAAATGAATTCAATTAACAAGCTGCTAAATTATTCATAGAAAGGTTTAAAGCCCTTGCCAGGCTCTAGTTGGTATCGTTTGATCCTCGCTACAAAGCATTTAAATTAGTTTAATACTGTTCGGTTTTCGTCCAGCATTTACCACAGAAATTGAAACAAAGAGAACTAGTTAAGAACAATATTATTATGAGAAGAAAACAGAGGATTAGTGAGAACTTTCTAAATTGTAGCCAAGGTTAATCGAAATCCAAATTTATCACACATCCAAATAACTGTTCAAAAATTATTATCAATGTTATTGAATATTTTTGGTATTTTATTGGACTATTGTCATTTGTGTTTTGCGCAATACTCCATCCAACAGCCCAATCCATAAACACTTAAATCAGAATATAAAATATTTTATTACCATAGCCTACAAATATGTTTATTGTTAGTTGTCGGCCTGGTATTGTAAACAAAAATGTAGAGTAAGAATAAAGAAAATACAGTTTTATTTTACAGGAGGATAAAATTAAACTACTCAGATCTTAACTGTTCTTACGAGTATTTAAATATTTTAACACAAACACAATAACGTAATCAGTACAACAGGCAGGTTTTTACTTGAACGTAACATATACCTTTAGCATTATCGTATAACAATACACAATAGTTTAATATTCACCTAATTTTATTTAACGAATGACATTTATTTTAAACCAATTTGTAAAATTTGATTGATATGGAGTTTCCAATCACTTGCATCAAAAATATCAAACAATTACAATATTTAATATTTATGATGCTGTTTTCCTCATATAGTAGGCCTATGTACTAAATAATTATTTTGTTCGACTTACATTTATTAATAGACATCATGGTCGCCAAGGTGTAATGTAAATGCGAATTCTTTTCACCAACTATCCCTACTGCAGCTTTAAGGTCTTTATGCATATCAGAGATCAGAGACTGCAACATATTAGAGTAGCTACCGCGTTGATGTATTAAACTTTGCTTTCTTTACTCTGTCGTCACTACTTCAAAGTGTTCAATTGTAATGAAATCTCAACACAATTTCGTACATAGCATGTTTTGGTAATTTCGTAAAACGGACCAGTTTTAAACCAGACGTTTAACAATGTTTTTATTCTCAAGCTTGTTTTCCTGAATGTGTTTGCCTGAACCAAAAGTCATTCTGTATGCAAAATAACTAGAACCATTTTTCCTGTCGGCTACCTATAAACATCTAAAGTTGGTTAAGAACTTTACTGAATAACGTTAACTGTCGAACTTTGTGGTGAATATTTTATATATTCATCTATTTATTATTAGGGTAAATATATTTCCTATTGGAAAAATAAATGACAATATTCGAAAACAAAAATATATTCTAATATATTATTTATTGCAATAAGAATAATAGGTTAAGGTATTGAAGAAAGTTGCTATATTGCTAGATAATCAAACAAATTCTTGGAACTGTATGTAAAAATACTCGTGTTTCTCAATTTTTTACATTTTGTGAACAATGATAATTACAACAATGGTTAAAAAGTAAACCTTCACAATGAATTGTGATTTTAGGGCTAAGAAGCGAGATTCGTCACGAATTGGGGTCTTCTGTCATTGTTGTTGCAAATGAAAGGGAATTGCATTGGCTTGTTCGTAGTTGAACATGCTTTTAAAGTTTGTTTCCTTAACTTTGAAATATGGAATGCTTAAAAAAGTTTTGTAATCTTTTAATCACACAATTCGATATTATGACTTCCGTGTTTAACCTGACTAAAAATATTTTAGATGTATGATATGAATTATAATTTATAATCTAGAACGTTTCACCACATGTAAGGAAATAATATAAATTCCATTGTAAATTCTCATTTACCATATGTATCCTTAGGTACTACATGGACCCAGACACACTGCTTCGGTTGAGTTTTTATTTTTTTTGTATTTTAACTAAACTAGTTATAAACACATGTAGAACACTGGACAAGTTTCAAATAGTTGAACAATTTTTAAAATCCCTGCTAATAAAATAGTTTTAATGACTAAAAAATGGTTTCCTAGGCAAAAATTATACACCAACCAAGAATACCCATGCAAATCAGACGATATAAAATATTATCAATTATTACAAATGTTCATGACATTCCCAATTTCCTTCTGAACACAAGGTTAGTTCCAACTACAGGACAATCCTTAGTTAAAATGTCTACCCATTACAAAAACCACGGAATTTGGAAGTTCTTTACAATGTTAAAATCGCCCAAAGTTTCTCCAACATCTACTTAGGAGTTCTGAGGCACGTGAGACGAAAGGTGATTCATTTAAATATTCTTATTGATTTATGTGTATACGCAATTCTTTTTAAAGTAACAACTGGGCCAAACGATTATGCTATTACAGTAGTCTTATAATATATTATTTTTCCTGAATCTTAAAACTAGATAGAAAATCCTGTTTCAACTATTGTTGATCATTACACTTTGATAAATGATCGTGGATAAAGCATCAGCTGATCCTGGACAGTAGCTCCGATCAATCATTTCGTTCATCCTCCGCTTAGCCTTAATTCACCTGCGTCTTAAACTTCATACAAAGTCAATACCAGCTGCTGACACTCGTGCTTCGATAAGTAAACGGAAAACACTGACAACACTTAAACGTGTTCCTACTTTTCTTTGTATATGTTTTGAACCATCATAATAGGACTATGGGAACTAAGTTTTATAAAGTAAAAATTAGGTTTTCCCAGTGTTGACATAGCCTACATCAAACAACGCAATTGTTTTTTTCTAATTTGTACAGCTTAAAAAACAACAAACTAATTAGGTAAACTGAAAGCGTGGTCATCAATAAATAATTATAAAGAAAATATAAAATACTTTAAAAATGAAATTCGTATGTCATTCATAAGGATACTAAGGAACCTAGAGTGGTTTGCAAGATTAAATGTAAAATTATCAAACTAACATTTGAAATATTGAAATTAACATTTTACTGAAAGAAACGCACTATATTACCTTTCCTGTAGCAGCAAACCTAAGCACACGTTAAACCTAAAGTTTATTTAATGGTAGATGGATCAAATCAGGATAATGGAAATTCGTTCAGTTTGCAGGTTTGTTGTGGCGTGGGTAGGTATTTAATTATAACACATTGTAACGGTCATATTGAGAGTAGGACCACCCGTTGCCGTTCGCAATTCAAATAGCGCGGGGTTGTAGTTCACCGAGCGGCCACGCACTGCACCAGCGTCGCGACCCCTATATAAGCGGCACGGGACAAGGACTAATCGCTTCTTGAGCGCTGGGCGAATAGCTAGCAACATCTCTCCCTGGTAAGTGGAGTGGAGTATATCGCGAAACCTGTAGGTCGAGGGCGGAATAGCCCGGTAATAACCAGTGGTGGAATAACCCTGGAAGCGTCGAATACTAGGGTTAGGCTGAGGGCGGAATAGCTCTCGGACCGCGTATATTGCGAGACGATAGGTCGAGGGCGGAATAGCCCGGTAATAACCAGTGGTGAAATAACCCTGGTAGCGTCGAATCCTAGGTGTTAGGCCGAGGGCGGAATAGCTCTCGGATCCGCGCATATACATCGCGAAACCGTAGGTCGAGGCCAGTGGTGAAATAACTCTGGTGTCGTCGAATAGTAGGTGTTAGGCTGAGGGTGACAATCGACTCGGTTAATTGTAAGTATAATTGGTTTTAATTCCAAGAGTGAAACACGGTATATCCATTAAGTAGAGGTTTTATTTTATTTTCGAAGTTAATATTTTAGTTTTATTACGACCAGTGTTTCACTCACGGAATTAACGCCTAATTATTAATTTAGGGCCTAACCCGGGCAGTGATGAATGTGTCATTCACTGAAAGCTGATGCTTTAACGACCATATCTGAGCCCATATTTTAAAAATAAATAATATTATTATTACCACTAACCCTGGACTAACTCAATTAGATTAGCTATCCGAGGCCGACAGTACAATTTTGTCCCAGGACGAAATTGCACCGTCACAACATAATTAACGGTATCAAACTGAAACCTAGAACAAAACGTTACAATGAAGGGAAATTGGTTAATGGACTGAAAATATTTTCAACGGCATGTAACAATCAGAGGCACCACGATAGCCCGATCAACTGTTAAGTTCCAAGCACCGAGTTGATCAATAAATATTTTATTTTCGAAAGTCATTTTTCTCATATTGGGAATAAGCCATTACCCATGTAATACCGTAACCCAATGTAATGTCTCATGGTAATAACAAGAACCAGGACCGATTTACTTTTATAAATATATATATATATATATATATACTTAGCTGCTGTATCTATACTTTTCAACAAGAATAGGACACGAAATAGAAACCTTTTTGATCTTGACATCTATCTGTATAAAATATTTACAAATCCCCCAACGCCTTTAGCAAACAAAATTCAACCAAACAACTTCGTTTGATAATTGTTTATTGAAAACCACCATTTTCGTTGGGATAAGTTTTAAATCTCACCAAATTCTCCAAAAACATTTTCATATACTTGAATCACATTTTTCTCCCTCATTTACCTATCCTGTTTTAATTACTTTTGGCATTTTTAAATTTCAATCTTTAAATTATAAAGATAATAATCATTGCTTAACTTAAAAAACAAAAATTACTATAGGTACATCAATCTCCTTCAAATGAAATTACAACTCTTTCAATCTCCATTCCCCACTCGAAATAAGTCATTAAAAACACAAGCATTAGCTTTTATATAAATTTTCGATATATTATTGTGCCTTAACGATAGTGTTTAGAAAAATAAACTATATGTGTACTACATTATGTTAGAAATTATTAAATCACCACGTATAACAATGTCAATTGGGATTTTTCTTTGAATTAAATAATAAAGAAAACCTTTATCTTTGTTTCTTTAGTGCATATTATTTATTTACAAATTAGATTAAGCATTGAAAAGGACAAAGAAAACAAATATGATTATAAAAAGATCAAAAACAAAATAATGGGACCTTTTTCGTTAATTCACAACCTCTAGTGGAACGTCAATAGGGTTTTCTAACTATACTAACCTAACCTAACCTAACGATGATGACCTAATGATTCACTAACACTTCTATTGCAAATAATCCTTTTCTCCAAAAACTAGTGGTAGTGAATTAATGAAAAAGGTCCGAAAAAGTAATAGTAAATTTCATTGATATGGCGAATTCAAATATATGATAAATGATATGGTAAATTTTATTTTTGGTATGTGTTTTATTGCATCTCTTAATCCACAATACAAAATCATAAACTAACAACATGACACACAAACCAGTTCTATTTACCATAGATACATTGTCCATTGCAAATACATTTACATACTTACCAATGAAGGAAACATAGTAACAAATATTTCGTAAAATTTTGAAACAAAACAAAAGAACACTATGTAAAATGAGAATATTTACCAACACCAGGACACTCAATCGTAACCCATAGGTCTACATCGGTCAGTATACTTTATCCACACATGATATATGCATTTGCACTATGGGGAGGTGAAAGCACAAGAACCCATTTCCTTTTTCGCCTTCAAAGGAGAGCTATCAGAATAATTCACGGCCTTCCCTACAAACAAACTTGTAGAGCTGTATTTAAATCATCCGCAATTCTAACTTTTCCCTGTATTTACATTCTAGAAGTCCTCACTTTTCTGAAGTCAAATTATTCTCATTTCCACACCACAACCACCCACTCATATCTGCTTCGCAATACTTTCAATCTGAGAATTCCAGCCCATTCAACCACATTCTTTGAAAGACATCTAAACTATAATGCCATCAAACTGTTCAATGCTCTCCCACTTCAAATCAAGTCCACATCAGATCCGGGATGCTTCAAAAGGCACTTGAGGTCATTTCTCGTGGGTAAAGGCTACTACAGTGTCCGCGCCTTTCTCGCTGACGGACAGTCCTAATGAATTTTAATTATTTTAAAAGTTAGTAAATAGTTATTTGACTTGGCTAATGCATTTGTAATGTTAATCTAGCTAAATAAATGAGTTATTGAGTTATTGAGTATCGAAGAGTTAAGAGTCCTAAACGGAACCTTGATATTATATTTTGATAAAATTTAAACCCAGTCGGTTCAGTAGTTTTTGCACGAATTAGTAAAACAAATACGTACAGACACCATTAGATTTTTTTAATAAACTAGTATAGATTTATTTATTTACGTATATTTTGCTCTTAAAACATATTTCCTAAGATATAAATCTCAAACTCATGCAAGTATGTGATTAAAAATTAAAATACACCATCAAAATAAATCCAGCATATAACGAAGAATTAACGAATCCTCAAATTGAATGACGTGAAATTTGCATACCAATTTTATATTTTTGTTTACCAGGTGTTTTAAGGTAATAATTAAGATAACTTAAGAACGTGATTGAAATAATAGTGAACAATCCCTAATCAACCTGGTTTCATTG